CCCGTGTTGGCACCCCCCGTGGCAGTGCACCCCCCGCAGTTGTGCAGGGCCACGACCTTGTTGTCGAGAGCGCCAAGTATAGGCGAGCCAGACGAGCCCCCTTCCGTGTCGACGTTGTACGCCAACGTGTCTTGTTCCCCACACAGCGACGAGGTGGACGTGTTGGTGATGCGGGGGGACTTTCCGTCGTCGCTCAAGTATGTGATGCGCTTGGGTTTGGCACCAGGGTGCCCTGTGATGTAGATCGGGTCGTTCATGTGCACGGCTGAGTCGCGGGCCTGCAAGTACCCGAACTGGGTAATGTTGATGCCATGGTTCACGTTCAGCTTGACCAACGTAAAGTCCAACGTGGGGTCGGTGATGATCAACGTCGAGCTGTTGGACACGTAGGTGCCGACGCATGCCCCCTTGATGCCGTTGTTAGGGTCTGTGGCCGTTGCACATTCGGCGCCGAACTCGGCGATGGCCGTGGCAGCGTCGGCGGCGGACCCAATGCAGTGGTTATTGGTCACCAAATGGCCTTCTGATCCCCACAACCAGGCGGTGCACCACCCCCCGCTGATCTTGAGGCGGGCGACGGATTGCGCCAATTGATACTTTGTCGTCTCGGAGTCCTTTAGGGCCACCGACGCCAGAGATTGATCGGTGCCACATATAGCTTCGGTGTCGCCAATGACATCGCCAGAGGCGGCCGCCATCGTGACGACAGCGAGAATGGTCAACGCTTTCAATGTGGTGAACATGGTGGAAGGGGGGAAATGTGAAAATGACCAAACTGGCGGGGCAAACTGCAGGGACTACATGGGCCGTGACCATCATGGATTGCTGACACGAGATCAGTATCAAGCGTAGAGCTGAGGTGGTCCACGAATTTCTTGAAGTTCAGCCGAATATGTCATGCACTGATTATACAATACTTCGTAGTATACATACTTACTACATTTTCATGTTCGATTATTTATCAGTACAAGTTATAACATCTGCATTTAAACGCTTCAATGGCTACAAATCGTGACTGCAACTACAGACCTCCACGCTCCACGTTACTTAACCCAGCGCTTAGCCACACCAGTTCAAATACAGTACCGGTACTGGTCGTTGGGAACATTGTTAAATGCACCGCTTCGTATATACTAGTATATGATCCAGGGGCTCATCAATTTGATCATAGGCAAGTGAGATGCACTGTACCGGTAACTTTACGCTAACTCCTCTTCCGATCCAGAATTGATGGACCTGATGGTGTTTCCCTGTACAGTACTTGTCGACATTTATAATACATTAACAAAGCTCTACGATTAATATGAGAGAATTGCATGCATGTCGCGGCCAATGACATGTTATGGATTGTTGAAGCTGTAATGCCACCTCTGACCAACTCTAACTTCAACACACAATGAGGTCGAAGGAGAGGGTAAAGCTCACGGTGTTGCGTTGCTGTGGCTACAAGAAACTCCTTACAGTGTGGGCGACATGGTTGTTCGCGATTCTACGTAGGTTGACTGCTGCCACGAGACTCACTGATTGAAATCGCGAGGGGTTGATGTGCCTTGAAATTTCGTGCCTGATCTGAAAGACCACTTCTTGTGGAGTTGTGGGTGAACATGACTCCTTTCGCTATGTAATTGTACCACATGTAAGGCACCTCCAATGTAGTGTCACCGTTTTAAAATGTCCTCTTTCGACAGCCAGCGCCACGACGATATCCACGAGAATTTACTGTTAACGTTGGCTCCATATAGTGTTATCCCTGTACATAGTACAGTTCCAACACGAAGGCTGATTCCACCACGCGCATGCATTGCAGTGTAAATGCTGAGATGGCGAAAAGGTGAATTTGATACCAAGAGCTGCTGTTGTGGCTACACTGTAGAACGACAACAACTTCTCACAGCATTCTTCACAGTCAACGTTACAGTAATTGACATGAGCATGGTTGGATGTGGTGACACGGCGATCTCTGTGTACTAGTACGTGTGTGGTCCAAAGACACGTCGGTGATGGCGTACGTCGAGCTATTGAAAACGTAGGACTCGACACACCGCACACATTTCTTGGGTCTGTGTGCGTGGCGCATTCTGCGCCGAACTCTGCAATGGCCGTGGCGGCGTCGGCAGCGGACCCAATGCAGTGGTTGTTGGTCACCAAATGGCCCTTCGACCCCCACAACGTAACTAGTTAGCGGTGCAGCAACTGCCTGGGACCTTGAGCCGGGCGATGGACTGAGCCGTTAGATATTTGCTAGCTTCGGCACTTATTTGAGGAGCAGGTCGCGATTGATCAGTGTCGCAGATGGCTTCCGGACCGCCGAGGGAAGAGGCGGTCGCCATCGCGACGACATCAATGATGACAATCGTTTCAACGCGGAGAACATGGTGGAGACTGGCGAGCAAGATTGACAATGAGACGTGAAGGTCATTAGTCATGTAGGTGAAAGGGCACAGAAATTTGTGTGTAGTTGATGCATACAACTCAATAACACCGCCGCTGGGGTCAACAAAGCAAGGCATGGTTTCGGTGCAAAATGGTATCAAGTAGCGATTGAAAAGCTGTATATACCTTTGCCATCCCTAATCAACCCACAGGTTATACATTCGAACGCCCAGGTTCAGTAGTCGAACCGAGGCATAACTGTACGCATTTGCATCGTGTCAATATCCAGTCGACTTGTGAACGGAGGACAACATGAAAAGGCACTACTGTAACCGCTGCGACTGAAACCGTCATCAGAAGTGCAGTGTGACTGTTGTCAGCTTTTGGCTACCAAGGACGCGATGGAGATTGTGGACATTTTGGCCAAGTACAGTCGTAGTGCCAAACCCGCCCCAGATCCGTCAGCCCCGCTGCTGCCCCCCATAGATCAGTCCAACAACCACATGCTACCGCTGTTGCCTTCCACACCACGACACGTGAAGTCCAAACCATCTAAAGCCAAAGTGGCGGTGGTACCGCATTACTTTACGCGGTCGCCTCGCCCGCCGCCAGGGTACGGGGGCATGGAAGCGTCCATGTATGATGCGCATGCTGTATGCAATTCGTCATCACTCTTGTCGTGTAGAGCGACTTATTCCGCTGTGGCAACAGACGTACCGCGAGGCGACATTGAAAGCTGGCCGCTCAGGGCTAGTCACCGCGGCAAACCTCTACCTGACTCGGTCGTGTCAGCAACGACCCACGACCACATTCAAACATGGTCGCTTACGTTTTGACTTGAATAGGACCACGACACCAAACAACGGCGCCACAAGGACGACCAACGAGGCGGGCAGCCGTTAAAACCTGCGTTTTTGCAGCAATTGGAGGCGTTTGTCGTCCGGGAATTGAGTCTTCTTGGGGTCACCACTGCCACCACATCCTCCCCCAACTCCCCGTCGCCATCCCCGCGACTGGCTCGGTTGCAGGTACGATGTGCCTAGAGGTACATTGGTGTGGACACACACCACCATAATGCAGGTGTTTCGGGAATGCTTTGTCCGGCTGATTGACGACTTTAAAACGTACAAACCGCTGTTACTGGCCATCAAAGACGAGTATGAAGGTACACTAGCGTCATAGTACAATCGTACTTGCAAACCAATTGCCTTTTTCACGCGTAGGATTGCTCGACATGTATGCGCTACGGGTACGAAGAGGTGATTGGCTTGTAGGTTGAAAGTTGATTTGTGTATGTAGGCAAGTAAGATCCCCCAATACGAAGCCACGATTCGCACGATGGAGCAAGAAGTCCACCAAGTCATGGCCGAGCACAACCTAGTCAACACGATGAAGGGTAAGCACATTGTATTCCCCCACAATGGATTTGAACATCGCGTTGTTGTACGTAGTCAAGGAGTGGAAACGGCAATTGAAAACCACCCAAGCCACGTTAGCGGTATAGATATTTCGACGAAACCCGAGCTCCACTAGATATATACGTATGGACCACCAAACTTATAGGGCTACGCTGCCGCGAACGCAGCGTTGACCGACTCCACAACCAAACTCACGGCAGAATTGAACGAAGCGTTGGCAAAGGTGGCCGATCTTATGGCTACCAATCAAGCGCTGGTGCACACTATGAAGCGTCAAGACGACCGCCAAAAAGAACACGAGTCGCAAGTACGTGGCAGTAGCTTGTCCATATATATAAATATATATATATATAATACGGGAGGGTCCTGCAATATCATCTATACATACATATAGGTATATATTTAATACAGGAGGAAGCTGCAACATAACGGTTGTCGTGTAGATGAGCGACTTGCACGGGACTGTGCACAGCCTCACAACAAAGTACTCGCGGGCCCAAGACGAAATCCTCGGTAAAAAACAAAAACGTTGTTCAGATCATGTCCATATATATAGTATATTTTTCGGATGAGTGATTTTTAAAGAAATATCTTTGTAGAATTGCGGAATTCAATCGTTACGTTGGAAGACAAGGCCGGTGGCGTCGACATCAACGCCGACCGCCGCACGATCGAGCACTTGACACGTGAAGTGCAGGAACTCATGGCGTACCGTGTAGCCCATGACAAAGTACGTCTACTATTTACCAGTGTGTGTGTACTGGTACCTCCCCTTGTTCCATTGTGCACTGGTATAACCGAATGACAACGATAAACCACAGTTATGTTAGCCCCCACAACCCAAGGGACCCTTGTTCGACGAAGCTTCGTTGGTGGCAAAAGTGATGGCAGAGTGGCGTACTCATCTTCCCGAGTGTATTTTTACCTCGGACGCTGTGGACATCACGACGATCTCGGGGCTTGTTCAAGGTAGATAGCTACAATATATCCTGTTCGATGCATGCATCAGACGCACGGCATTGTATTAAATGCAAACCACCATTGCTGCCACTCGATATTTTGAACCGACTGATTCTTGTGCCCATGTTTGTCCCCCCCCACAGTGAGATAGTACAGGGAATGACGTATTAAACGCCCCCGTGGTACTAAAATTTCGTATTGATTAAAGTATTGAAATTTCGAAGTAGTTTGTCCCAATACACAATTGAAATGCCAATTCGAAGTACCACGGGGGCGCTTAATACGTCATTCCCTGTATACTAGTACGTACCATAATAACGCTCTGATATGATATGGTATAGCTTGGAAATCGAGCTACAACGCAGCTCGTCGACCTGTCTCGTCGTCGCCCATCAAACCCACCACAGCAACTACCACAGCAACACCAGCAACGACCGCATCAATAGCAGCAATCCGAGACATCGCCCACAGCGTATTTCTCACGGGCTTGCAAGACGAACGAAACGAAGGCGTGGATACCCTCATGCAGCCAGAAGCCATCATTGGCGACGTGTTTGTTGGAAAGGGAACAGGCGACGCAGTGCCCGACTACCTCCATTACGATGGTTATATTCGCAACAAGTTTTACTCAAAACGGGATACTGAACGACTCATCAGGTACTATAGGACTTCGCCTACTACACTCTATGCTACACATGAACATGGTGAGGGCTCACTAATCTCGTTGGTGGACACAGCGACATATGGCTGCAAAAGGCCACGACGGAAAAACTCACCGTTAGAGATCACAATATCCACCCACCGCAGAGTACCAACCCTCGACGCACGGCCAACAGCATCAGTGGCAACGGCACACGCCCAAGCAACACCCGCAAGCCCACGGTCACCCCCCCATTAGCCCCCAGTGGCCCAACCCCGCCATGCATTACTATTCCGCTACGGCAGTACTTTCACAGTTACTTGGCCAAGAAATATCCCAATCGCACTGACGCTGTCGAATGTACGAGCCCTTCTGTGGTTGTGCCTTAACGTTAGGATGATGTTTAGGATGATGTTTTTGATTCGATACGAATTTCTGGCCCCCATTGAATCGACTAAATCGAGCACCCATTGGTCACTCTGAAAATATTTGTCGCTGATTGCTACATTATTGTCATCGGTTTTACGGATCGCGCAGAATTGGGAAATTTGTAACACATTCAAAATATTTTGGTTGACTTTTTGACGTTTTACCATAACATAAACTTCGAGGATTATGGCTGAAATTGTTGTTCTTGGATGGATCGACACAGGCGCGTACAATCTGTGCGCGGCGCTGGAGCAGTATCAGTACGACAGCGAATGCCGTATCTTCCAACTCATTCTGGACGGGGAAATCCCCGAAGATGCCCGCGCCGACCAACTGCGAGGTACACAGCGCCCATATGAATAACGATATGTCACGTCTTGCTAGTGGTGTATGCCGTGTACGAAGCCTATGTGGCGCTGGACAAGAACGAATCGGACACGTCCAAACGAAAAGGGTACATTCTCGATATATCATTTTTGACATATCAATTTTGACATATCATTTTGACATATCATTTTTTGAAAACTAAATCATGCGACAGGTATGTCCAAGTGGGGGCTGCGCTACGAGAGCTGCATATTTTATTTCCCTGGAAGAGCGATGAGTCCATGGCAGCATTGAGTCGTGCGTTGCTTGTCGAGTCCAAGGTGATCGTAGCTCTCGAAACTTCTGACTTACATGGCAACAGGGCCAACCGACTTTGAACTACACGACGCTATTGGAACAAGATCGCAACGGCAACCAATCGTCGTTTTGCGAGTGCATTCGCAACCAGCACTTGGACGAATTGACGACGTTGAAGCGGTCGCTCCTCGTAAGCAGACATGTTCTGACTTTTTTCAACGGAGTATTAGAGTTGCTTGTTTGTGTTGTTATTGTAGCACGAACTGCGCGTCGAAGAACGTCGCGCAGGACCAGACAACAATGGCATGCTCAGCCTGGACTCTGTCCGCCGCGTCATTCGAAGGTGCGACCCGAGCCGACCCACCGCCGCCGTCAACGTCCTCATGGCCGAGTGCACGGCCTTGCCGTTGGACCGAGTCGAGACGGAGACGGCCACGCTCGTGAACGCCCACGGTGTCCGCACTAAATTGGTCAGCATGCTAATCAAACCCGCGGGCAAACTGCCAGTGTTGCCGTAAGAAAGGACGCACTAGACTATATAGACCCTTTCAAGGAAATATAGAAGTGAGCCCATGATGGATCTGTGCCGATGTGTAATTGTACTCGACCACGAAAGTAAGCTACAATTTCAAACTACTCGTACAAGCAATCGCATGTAGTCTTTGAAATAATCACGAGTTCCGACTAATACTGTAGTAGTGAATTAGTACTCCGGAGAAACAAGTTCCCACCAGCGATGGAAACTACATTGCAGACAATTGCACTGATAACGTTAATTTGCCAAATCATCCGCATATACACTCGTATGTAACCCTAACACAAATCATCCGCATATACACTTCTACATAACCCTAACCCTAACGCGCTGTAGCCATGAAACCCAATCCACACAAGTTGTGTTTTTACCTTGTGTGGAAGGACAATAATGTGGTTCATTTTGACAATATGATGGGGTTGCGCCCGACGGCACTGCATGCAACGCTACCGTGGAACCATAATGTGCATGGAACACAAACTTACGTCAATGTTAGCAGAAATAGCAGAAAAACTAATACCAATGCTAATTGATCCAGAATGGATGCCTTCCTCCTTCAGCTGTGTATGTACGTACAGTACTGTACGCACTGTACCCTATAGTTCTCGGCTGTAGTACTGCACTTACAGTTAAGTATTCCAGACGCCTTCGCTACGAGCCATTTTAACGTTACTACCGGTACTATAGTATCGAATGAACCGATGCCAACCACCGTTCACAGTCGCAAAACGGATTGGCCTACACGAGTTGGAGCTGCTGCATACACACACACATATATAATATATATACACAAGGTAGGCGAACAAACGTCGTCGTGATTGTATTAAGAGACAAGGGGTGGCTTTTCTATTCCAAGAGGAGCACCACCTTGCGCTTAGTCAATCGGTGCACGACCGTGTCGAGGGCCTGGTCAAAATCGGCCAGCGGGTACGTCTGGACCCACGAGCGCAGCTTGCCCTGTTCAAACAAGGTAGCCAATTCGCTCAACATGGCCTTGCGCTCGGCCACGGGCGCAGTCTTGGACCACTCGGAGAGCCAGAACCCGCGCACGGACACATCCTGGAAGATGAGCGCCGTCGTGGAGACGAGCACGGGTTCGTGGGATTGCCCGCCATACGTGACAGACACACCACCCTTGGTCAATGCCTTGGTGATTTGCAGCGAGCTGGCACCGCCGACGCCGTTGAGCGCGAGCTTGGGCGCGGGCAGATCAGCGATCAAGCGCTTGAAGTCCGCCGAACCCAAGTAGTCGTCGGTCGTGACGATGGTGGCACCGAGACCCTTGAGGTGTTGGACGGTTTCAGCGTACTGCTCGTCGTCGCGGATGATGTTGATGGTCTTGATGCCACGCAAGTGGGCCAATTGGATCACGGCTTGGCCTACGGCAGAGTTGGCCGCGTTTTGGATCACCACGTCGCCGCTCTTGAGGGTGGCGAAGTCGGCCAAGAGGCGGTAGGCCGTGGCAGGGTTGACCTAGAGGAAGGATAGGACACTCAACGATGAGCTGCATGCATGCATGTATGTGCTGAAGGCATACCGCCAACGTCGCGGCGTATTCGACGGGAATCTTGTTGGAGATGGCCAACAAGTCGGCTTCCTTGGCGATGGCGTCCGTGCGCCACGTGCCGAACCCAGCAACGGCGGGAATGACGCGGTCGCCGACCTTGAGGCCGCTGACGCCGCTGCCCACAGCCGTGACGCGGGCCACGCCTTCGTTACCACCGACCGCGGGCAAGGTGGGCTTGATGCCATAGCCACCACGGATCATGTGTAAGTCGGCGGGGTTGATCGGCGCCGCCAAGAACTTCAAAGCCACTTCGCCAGCTTGCAACGCGGCGGTCGCGGCGGGAGCGGCTTCGACCCTACACGGCGGGAATGAGACAACGATTCGCCATAGTATCTTGATGACTACACTCACTTGAGTACTTCAGTGGGCACCCCTTGAGCATGGTAGCGCACGGCCGTAGCAAAGTTGCGGCGAAGGAACGAGGAGCGAGACAACATCCTGGCAGGCAGTCACTGAATTGGTTGAGTGGCTTTTGTGGTGCTGACTAAAGTACTGTCGAATATTAATAACATTCAAAGATAGAGGTTTGTAGCCACGTCAAAGTCCATTAGACGCGTTTAATGCATAAAAAGCACGTTTATTCGCAGATTTTGGGTTCAAATCACGGGTAATTCAACTTTACCCTCGGTATTAACTAAATCGTTCCCTGATCCCAAAACGTGCACTAGGTTGGACCTATATACGTTACAATCCAATCCCGAGTGGTCATTTGATGATGTTTTTTCGGCCTGCACTTGCGCCCGAAGTCCATGATGCTGTCATGGGGTACTTCCGCCGACGGCAGGCGGCACCATCCCCTCCTCAATGCCCCGATATGAGCATGACATCATTGCCATTGGACTGGGAAGCCTTGGCGCAATGGATGCATGACGAGTCGTCTGCCACTTCGGTCGCCTACCACGACATCGACTGTGTGTGGACACTTGCCCACGCTCTCTATGAAGCTGTAGATACATGTCCGGTCGATGTTTCCATCTTCCACGGTAACGCTCCTGTGACACTAGAGATGAGTGCCCTCTATGTGCACACACTCAAGCGTTCTGTAGGCTTGACGCATGCTTCGACCATGCCGTTCCTCGCCGCTCAACAGAATCATGGCCACTTCTACGCCACGTTTACCATCCTCGTCACGATCTTAGAGAGGGCGTTATACGACCTATACGCATTATTACACGACGGTCCCAAAAGCAACATGATTCTACGAGACCTCCTGCATTCACCGGAGCTTGAGCGCCGATTGCCACCGGGGTATATGCACGTGCTACATGTGTTGTTCCTCCCGTCTGGCCTAAACATTCGCAATCTCGTTGTACGTGAATATTATATCAACAATACATGTATCCAATATATATATATATATACCCTGCACACGAGATCAACATACCCGACCATTTACGTGCGTCTATAGTTTACATCAGGACTGTATATATACTGTATATATATATATATATTGGACATTATATTCTAGTGGCATGGCTTTCTCGCTCCTTTTGAACTCCCGCCCTGTCTCAACGCCCTTCTTTTCGCCCTCCTTGCTGATCCTTGCCTGCAACACCCTTCTACTTCAGCGAAATTGCTGCAGCAACTCCCTTCGATGGATTCAGAGTGGACGCGTACAGCGCTTAATGGCTTCAAGCTCTCCGCTGGTATTGTCTTGCCAGCTACCCCAACCAACTTGCACCCGGCTATAGGTACCACCACGTAAACTTATCTACGTACGCTACCAACGTACTCAGTACCTATCTACCTACGCTACCAAAGTACAGTACTCAGTACCTAAGTACTCAGTACCTAAGTACTCAGTACCTAATTCGTACTACCTACCTCTGCAATGCTTTTGCCCAGTTGTTTTAAAACACGATTTTTCATTGATAGCACATGTTATGGTGGTCAAGAGTCGATGGGGACTCATTCGGCACGCGATGGCGGCGTACACTGCCGGACAGTCGCTGATGTGTTTATTCGTTGCCATCCCAGTGTTGGAACATATTCTTCGCTGTGGTAAGATTTGTTTCCTTTCATATTAATAATTATTTCCATGTTTTCATCATCGAGATACACCACCGCCACCACAGTCAGTTTGTAAGACACTTGCTAGAATTCGTGTCGCAGAATGCGCCGGCGGTCCCGTCGGGAATGCAAAGTGCCCAATTGAAGCAGTATTATTCGACTTTGGACGGGTTTGGCCAGCGCCACCAGCACCAAGTGTTGTTGGCAAGAGACTTGTTTACATCGGTAATGACCACAACCACCCTATGTTGTAGATAGTACTAGTAATACTAGTAGTAGTACTAGATATATTGTCTGACTTTGGAAGCTTGAAATGTCTACTAACTAGAACTAGCATTGGATTTGAGATTATGGTTGTTGTTTTTCTCATACTTCGACTGAACATCGACGGATTGAACCAGCCAACGCATTGAGTACCCATGACATAAATATTTTTTTGAAAATATTATCCCCATATCTTCCAAAGATTATATAAAATGAAGTACATAGAACCACGAAGTCCAAGGAAGCGACTTATTGACGAATCGGCTGTACGAAACGCTGCCTCGCGGTGTCCTCGAAGTGTGTTTGGACCTGTTTATGGCCGCCACAGGACCAAATATCCGAGCCAAGCTATGCCACGGCGAGCTCTCGCTGGTACCTATAGTAATTAAAATATTCATTATGCTTTGTTTTTTATGGATAACTTTAAAAATAATATTTAATATTATCCAGAGATTTGGCGTGTATATAATACAGATGTGCTGAGTAGGATTCGCTAGTGTCGTCGCAGTGCTTGCCATCTACAGACATAATTACCGACGATAGCATGACTTCGACGGATATTTGCGCCGGCTTGGTCATGGCTGTGCTGCTGGAGGTACAAGTTTATGCTCGTCAACGGAATATAAGATATTGTTATTCCGTCGACTGAAATATATATATATATATATTTTACAATATGGATGCGAATATAGATATTATACCCCCACGAACAACCCGCCACTCGTTTTCAAGTGTCACTGGCATCGTACGACTGCATCTTTCACCCGTATAATGCACTCAAGCGATCACTCGACACCATCGATGCTACACTTCAAGCATGGGATACGCTGCTGGCGGTAAAATATATAATATATATATATTTGCTCGAAATTATAAATATTATGTCGTGGTGGTTTGTAGTCGTTTGCGTATACTACGTCACCGTCCGAAACAGTTGCTGGTCACATCGAGTGGACATGGACCGCACTCACTAGTGTTACGACTGCCCATCCTAGTAAGTACTAGCTAGTACTAGTACTTACACCTGTCTAGACTACTACTACTAGTCCTTCGACATCGTATCTCACAGATCCACCGTAGCCGTACAATTCACAGACAAAGCCCATCGGATGATTCCATCACAATTGCCAACGTCTCCGTGGGATAGCAAAACAATGCAATTCAACTCGATCCCAGATGGCCTAGTAATATTGAGCGGCTTTCTACAGACGTTGTCTAAAGCTCTGGCAACCAACCATTGCCCCCGCTCCAGGTTCCTCGTGGGCCAAGATTACTCTGCTTATAGGTACGTACATACCCTTCGTCCTACTAATAGTTCAAACTTGGAAAACCATATTATTGCGGGTTCGCTGGAAACTTCCAAAATTGGGGGGTTTGTCTACTCAATATGAATCACGCTGGAGCTCTGAATGGTTGAATATACTTGTCATTTCTGTAAGAGCCAATCAAATCCACTCAAAATCGGATCAGCCAATAGCGTCGATTCGAATCGACGGGGGTGTATGGAAATCTGTACCGAATCCACAATATACAGTACTTTTCGACTTCAATTCTGGTGTGCATGTGATTTGACATATTTATTATTATAGGGAGCCCCATGGCGATAACTTGGAACTTCCTCGGCTTAATTTGGCGACTGTGCATAACCTCCCTGCAGCGGCGTGTATGCTGGCCATTTTAGAAGGTAACCAACCGCTTACACTGTACTTCACGCTATTCCATCATGTATTAATGCTACTACTTTTATTCTCATTTTCAACTAACATTGACTTAACTGATTATCCCTGTAGCTTGTCGTACATTGTTGGCGAAATTCACGGCAAGGTACTAACTCATGTTACATATTATATTTTGCTTCATCCTAGTATTCGTGTTTTTTACAATAAATTCTATAGCCTTCATATATTATTTAGACTACTAGCGTTGCAAGATTTCGTCGTGCACGGCACAGCACGGACAAGCCATCGCCGGTCGCTGGTCAATTTGGTTCTTATGGCGCCTAGCATTACGCGCATCATCCGCCTCGCTGCGGCCATTGTATGACAAAGTACTTTTGTGCTTTTCACCTAAATTTGGAGTTTATTTACGCTTGTTCAAAGTATATTATACGTATACTAGTATATACTTCAGTATATTATACGTATACTAGTATATATCATGTTGTGTGCACTGACAGTGAACTGAATCAATGCTACTTTGGATTGGCAGAAAATCAACAGAAAGTGATTTGATTGGCAGAAATTCGACAGAACGTGATTTGATTGACTTAGGCGGTTCTTCAATATTTATTCTCGAATGGCATCCTGCCTGGTAGCTCCAGTTTCGAATCGAGTTGACAAAATACAATATGTAGTATTGTGCTTTCGAGTGACATTTCGTGTTGTGGTTTCTCGTTGGAATTTAAATGATTTGATTGGCTACCTCAGATGAGCTCAAAATTATTAGCCAATCAAAACCTTCTCAATGAAATTCAACCAATCCGATTGATTGTGGATCGGTTTGGTCGGCGCGATTCGATTGCACCCCCTCCCCAAATTTGTACTATCAAATCGACAATAGTAGTACATGTACTTTAGTAGGTCGTGATGGATGTATAGGTGGAGCATCAAGTGAGCCAAGCCCATCGACCCCATCGAGAGATTGCATTGGACGGCGTAGCGGAAAAATTGCTGCCTTTCGTGGTGGCGCTGGATGACGACAAGAAGAGTATCGACAAGCAAGTCGTCATGGCTCTGCAGTTTTGGAACAGCAAGGCGGTTCGAGTGCCCATATGCAGAGAATTCTCCTCGTAAAAACCTATAAATCTATCTTAATTGAAGAACCGATACTACAGATAAACACGCGACCACGTTTGCAATCGTAACCTCAACGTTTGTGAATCAAAGTGTTGCCAATTGTTCACTTGTGACAGAGTTATGTGCTACATATTGTGATTTGTTCTACTCAAAATTTCCTCCCGCGGTTGGTTGAATGAACCGCCGAAAAATCGCCGGACCTTCGTAATTTCATATAAAACGAAGTTGAAGAGGTATGCAATGCATCAATCAATATTTTTAGCCAATCATATTGCAACCTTCATTCTTTGTAGCCAATCATAACTAGTTACGCATTTGCTCGATTAGTTGGCGATTTCATCCATCCCCCAAAATAGGCAAATTATTTGACTGAAAAGCACAATAATAGAACGTATGGGCAACGTGGCTAATAATTCTCATTTAAATTTTATAATTTTTTTTTTAAATAATATTGATAATTTTGGAACAACTAGTAGAGCTACTTCAACTGCAATAAATTTTTATAATAAAAATATTTTTTATGGCCGACTGCAGGTGCCTCGTCCGCCTGTTGTTTGCATTGTGGGGTTCCAGAAGCCGTTGCCCCTCAAAGAGCTTTTCGACGCCAAGAGATCCGTGGTATACGTTACACGTTAACTCGTAGGCCTATCATGGCCATTGCACTTGTTGAAGTGCACATACATTTTTACTCGAGGGAAAAAAACTCTTTTTTATTTCACTACTACGCCTCGCACAAATAGGACACCATCACACATGTTGGTATATCGCAATGACTATGGTGTCCCCATTGAAATCAGCTCCATCCTTCTAAACTATGGATGGTTTCATCAACCTAGTGTACTGTATGTATCACGGGGCCAAGGTTGGAAAGTTGGTCTTGATCGACTCGAGCACAAGCTGGTGCATGAGTTGATTTCCGGCAATGCTGAAATGCAATCCGTCGCTAAACAGGTACATTTGGCCTTGCGTGGCATTCCAAATGTTTACCACTGGTACATCAAGCTTCAAGCCTATACATACATAATTACATGTATTGTCGATATTTGATAGTACAAGTTTGGGGAGGGGGTGCAATCGAATCGCGCCGACCAAACCGATCCACAATCGATCTGATTGGTTGAATTTCATTTAGAAGGTTTTGATTGGTTAATAATTTTGAGCTCATCTGAAGTAGACAATCAAATCGATTTAAATGCCAACGAGAAACCACGCCACAACACAATGAAATTTCACTCGAAAGCACAATATAATACCAATCTTTCCTTTTGCAATACTATGTACTCACCCAGCGCCACCATAGCGGCCGCATACCGCCCCGTTTCGTTGTTTTCACGCAGACTTCCTGCTGTTGGTTGCGCCGCTTCGAACGTCAATGCATTGTTTACGGCGGGCGGCGTTATGAGCAGGACCTTGCAGGACGGGAACGTACTGTGCAGATGCGCCACCATTTGGTCCAAGTACGCTACGTACTCGTGTACGTCGACGTGCTGCAGGCCCGGGTCCAGCGCTGGCAGCACGGCGTCGTTCGCGCCCAAGCAAATGGTCACAAGATCGGGGGGAGTAGGAGCCCCCCCCCATTCGAGGATGTCGTGGGCGAGATGGGGGGCCCACCGCCGACTGGTCCAGCCCCCGATGCCCCGGTTCACGACTTTGCCGTTGGACGGTTTGTAGTCTTGCTCCAACATCCACACCCACCCCGAGTCGTCGACGATGCTCCCAAACAAAGTGATGGAGTCCCCAATCGTCACGAGCGTGATAGGAGCAGCAATTGCATTCACTCGGTATGACATAATATCGAGATCGCCCAACTCTGGCGCGTCACCTGTCCACACGTGGCGGCGGCCGGTGCAATTGACGCCTTCAAACCCAACCAACTCTACCCCCGGTGATACGATTCGAATAGATTGGATCGACGACGACACCTGGGCCGTGTTGGGATTGGTAGCGCTTAAACCCAACGGTGTGGCAACCCCGTCGTAATTTCGCTCGTCGTACAGAACTATGACTGCCGGGGACAAGTCCAACGCAGGCTTTGCCCTTGTTGTGTTTTCAATGGAAAAGGACTGAAGGCCACGGGCAAACCAGCCCAACGTGGGCTGGCTCGAGTTCCACACACGGCACAAACCTGTCAAGTTAACACTTGCGCATCCGACTAGGGAGACGGTTGGCGCCAGTCGAATCGATCGAACTCGATTCAACCACGTTCGTGCAGAGTCATCGCCAAGATCCGTGGTGACAGAAGTGGCCTCCCCCGTGTAGTTGAAGCCGCTGTAAAAGACGACAGGTGTCGAGTTGGCAACGACTGCTGGAGAAGGACTATTGGCAATGTCCACCGGCTGCTGCCACCACGTCAGCCACGAGCCAATGATAAGAACCACCACAAGGCGAAACATGTCCAAGCAATCTCGGGCACGACGTTGGCGTGAGAGCGTTCTGCGTGAACCCAATAACAATGCTTACCGGTTACATACTCGAGTAACGGGCAGTTATTGATCGACGTTGTTGATAATCAATTTAAGACGCATGAGTCAATTTAGATGAACACCCTTACAACATTATACCCCCTTCATTTCTATCCACACAGTAAGAAATAAAATGTGAAAAATTCGTTGAGAATACATAACCTACGAAAATAGATTTGGAAACTTCTAAAACTTTGAAAACACAAAATTGGTCTGGATGCCACCTCATAAATTTATACTAGTATAGATATAAAAGCACTTCGAAGTACTACAGTATCCACGAAGTTGTCTGGATGTCAGTTGAATTCGGATTCCGATTGAAGAGCAAGACTTCACAGTCAACGTGTGCACAAACCTCCATAAAACTCCCGATTGTCAAGATAATTGTGGCATAATCTTGGGAAGTTTGCGCCTTTTAATTTGCTACAATCATCACGTCAAGTTTCAGAGGAGAAAAATGTTGATTGACTGTGGCGATTTGGAAGTTCTCCCCAGCTGCCTTCCTACGATGCGTCTGAACGTTATTCTGGCCACTGACAATTGAACTCTTCTTCATCTGACATGTAAGCTTACTTTAGGATTGGTCTGGGTGCCACCTTATATAATTCAGCCTCACCCGTTTTGGCAAGTCTCCAAAAACTTCCCAAAGTCTCATAAACAAGGAGAAAAAAAGTACTCCGGAGTATCTACTACGGAGTACGTAGTACGAAGTTCTCTGGATCCAGCTTGAATATTGAGGATATTATTACTCGATTTCCGATTGTCTGTGAAGTGCAAGACTTCAACGCGTACACAAACCTCCATAAAACACCCTCTTCCCAAGAAAATTGTGGCATAGTGTTTTGAACTTTGGTCCAGACGCACAAAATCTCGAAAAATGGAATAATTCGATTTTGGCAACATTTCTTGCATTTTTCGTGGAGATCGGGATATAGTATATAATATCGACAATAAGGTAACGCATCGAAATCCCGAACACTTTTTGCCGAAAATTTGACCTGTCCATTCAAGTTGATGTCCTGGAGAAACTAGACTACTCTGAGAAAATCTGAGGGTACCCAAAGAAAATATAATTCAAGCTCCATTTTATTGTGCCATTTCCAGCACAATTGAATGAGTTTTGCGATTTGGACGAAAATTATTATCACCACTTTCACGCCGAGATGGGAACTTCAAGAATTCCGAAATCGCGAACACTCAAATGTCTTGTGTTAAGTATGATGCTATAAAAATTTGCAAAATAACACCGCCAATTTTAATCTGGATGTTTAAATTCAAAACGTCAATGAAAATCATTATATTCGACACCATTTTAATGACAGAATTCAACCACAGCATAGTGGATGCAAATAATATATTACACTTTGGAATTAAATTAGATTGAATTTGATTGTGCCAACATGGAGTGGTGAATATAATCATAGCCAATAGAATTTGATCGGCCACCAAGGGAAGTCATTAATTGGTCAAAATTGACACTGTTCGCGATTTTGATGCTGTTCGGGATTTCGATGTTAATGCCCGTAGAACATAAAATGTTCTACGGGCATTAACGTATTTCACGGGGAGAGATATAGTATGTGTATCAGTCAGTACACTAGGGAATTGACCTAGCCATACAGTAGCGAGCGACAACAGAGCATCCGCCCACGTAATTGCCCTTACCGCGTCGTAGCGGAGGTCGGCTTGCTTCTGATTTTCGTGAGGTGACCCCAGAGATATGAAGATGCATTTAGCCTCCAGAGTTCTAGGGTTTTAATGCTCTTGGTGGGGCACAGTCATGTGTAGATATTTGGTTTCTACTTTGCTTGCTGTTGAAGTAGTTGTTTCGAGTTACTCAAGCGAGGTTTCATACGTTTAATAACGTTAGGCTAAGTTATATTAAAACGGCGGAGTAACTCTGCACTTCGACGCCAACAAGTTTGTGCCAGACCTCCACTGGCTCCCGTACAGAGCGTGAGGGCAAATACACGTGGGGGCAAAGGGAAGGGAAATGTTGTACTGTATGTCTATATCGAATGCTGACGAGTGAGTCTCCCGTCACGCCCTACCCACGTCTGGTGTCAGTGAAGATGGTATTACGTAGCTATTTCTAGTGCTACTAACTAGTACAGTGTAGTACAGAATGGCCTCCATGGCAAGGTTTGATGCAATGATGGACATGATTCAACATGTATTCGAAGTACTCAGTACTTGTTGTCACAACACATATCCTCGTCGTCAATTAGACCTGCGGTGTTAAAGCAGCCATAGGAAGCGTTTGCTCCGAGCGTTAATGTATCACGTTGTTCATCCTGGTAATAACAGTAAAGGCATTCATGTTAACACCGCCTACATACTGGCACTGCATGGATTACAGTCCATGTATTCTTCGCCAACTAATCCAACTTGGAACGACGGCGACGCAGTGCGGCTGTCGTCGCGCCCGCGCTTCCCTTGGGCGACGATGGTGGTGCGGCTGTGGGAGCTCGCGCAATCGAGGAAGGCCGCGACGACGTCAAGACCACGACACCCACGAGAACCAAAGCAAGGCCAGCACCAAGGAGCCAAGTCGTAGGGAGGCCCTTGGGCTCGTAGATCAAGGTCTTGGTGCCGTCGACGTCAATATGGTAGACCGTGAGGAGCGACAGGACGTTGGTGCTGGCGTCTTCTTGCACGTCGATGTCAAACGCCCCTTTGTTGGATGTCACCCGCCATTGGGACTTGGCATCTTCCGCGTGGACCTGCGTCGCGGACTCAATGTGAAAGGGCACGGCGGGCTTGAAGTGGGCGTTCAAGGTCTCGGCAGAGATAGCGGATACCGCGGCGGCATTGGGCGTAGCGGTGGCGGCGGTCAAGAGCGCCACCAGGGCAACACAAGCTCGGACGAGAAATCGCGACATCATCGTCATCAATAGTGTGAGGTCGTTGAAATCTGAAAACAAAACTGTCATATATAATACAATTATAAATTCGTAAAGGACTTACTATAACGTACTACTGTATTAGTATACTAGTCATACTAGTATTGTACTTCTACGTACGTATACTAGTACTGTGCATAACGTTAGTTGACACAATGTACTGCTGTCATTATTAGCTGGGAAACGTCAAGTGTAGTTCAGTAAGGTATAGTTGCGTGGAGTTAATTGAAGCATCCTAACTTACAGTTAACAAGGAAGCTTACTGTTAGTATTTTCGACTTATTGTGCTTTCGAGTGAAATTTCGTGTTGTGGCGTGGTTTCTCGTTGGAATTTAGATCGATTTGATTGGCTACTTTAGATGAGCTCAACATTATTAGCCAATCAAAACCATCTCAATGAAATTCAACCAATCAGATCGATTGTGGATCGGTTTGATCGGCGCGATTCGATTGCACCCCCCCCAAATTTGTACTATCAAATCGACAATAATAGAACACTTTTTTCATGTGTAACCGGTGTATCCGGAATTATTTCCGGATAAGGTTCATTCTTGGCGCGCGTTCGATCAGGATGACTGCGACGCAATGGCCGACGGGTCTGTTAATCCTGGGAACGCTGTTCCATGCCATATACCTCCTGAGCATCTTCGACATCTACTTCAAGTCGCCTGTTGTGCACGACATCCCCGCGGTGGATGTCATGCATGAGTCGTACCCGCCACCGGCGAAGCGGTTGGTGATCTTCATTGCCGACGGCTGCCGAGCAGACACGTTCTTCGACGCGACCGACCGATATGCTGTGTTTGCGCACTCGAGACTACGAGAAGCCAATTTGACATCATTGATCCACAGCCAGTTTCAAGACGACGAACCCACGCGTGCGCCGTTCCTGCGCCATGTGATCAAGCACGTGGGTAGCTGGGGCGTCTCTCATACCGGGTGTGTACTGTACACGTCTTCGACTTGTCGTGCGCATGACCCATGCTAACACGTTATGCAGGGTGCCGACCGAGTCGCGACCAGGACACGTGGCCATGTTTGCCGGCATGTACGAGGACGTGAGCGCCGTCACGCGAGGCTGGCAAGAGAACCCTGTGGACTTTGACTCGATCTTCAACCAAAGGTTGTTCCATCTTCCCCTTTCTTCACCCTTGATCGATCGGCGCACATCCTCGTAGTACGCACGCGTGGTTGTATGGCAGTCCCGACATCGTGCCCATGTTTGCCAAGAATGTCGAACATGTGCATGAGAAGCATTACTCGAGCGCCGACGAAGACTTTGCCAAGGACGCCACGGTCTTGGATACGTGGGTATACCACAAAGTGCAGGTATATGCGCATCTTAGTTTAATATACATGAAGTTGGTGGTGGTGTAGGCGAATTCTACGCTCGTTTGTTCCAGTATTTCTAGTGTTACTTTTTGCATATTTGAAGGTTAATAATATTCCAAGGTGGTCTATGTGCATTGAACTTTTAATATTATTTCTAATAATCCTAGGCAAAATAAAATTTACTTACGCTCATGTGTTTACCTATTCACAGTCATGTCTAAACCCATTGTTGTCATGGGTTAATATATTAATGTTTGCATTCTTTTTATTCGACTTAACATTATAAAACAAACATCTAAATCCTGATCTTGATTGCTAGTTTAGAAAAAAACAGTTTTGAATGTACAAATATGTATTATATTAAATTTTATTTAAAATCAAAACCCTGAACTTGATTACATATTCACAGTGTCATATATATACAAGTATATATATATATATACCCCATGTTTCATGTGCGTACCTACCTACCTACCTTTTGCCTTGCCTGTCCCTTTTGCATGCATGTAGTTGAATGTTTGGTGACTTTCTTCGTACATTTCGTCGATTTTTCAATGTTCTTTTTAAATGGATAGGCGTTGCTCGACGACGCCAAAACGAATCGCACGTTGTTCAACCAGTTGCAGGCGAACCAAGTGGTATTTTTCCTGCACTTTCTCGGCATCGACTCCAACGGCCACGCCCATCGCCCCCACTCGCGCGGTATATTTGGACTAGATTGGAGGGTATTTGTTAATATTTTTGTTTGTATTAGAATACATATCGAACGTGGCGCTCGTGGATCGGCTGGTCGAAGGCATCCATACCATGCTCGAAGGTACGCCGTCCATTTCCCCGTATCGCAGAAATATAAACGAAATAAAAAACGCCGACTTTTTTACTCCTGTTTGATTGATAGTTTACCCCAAATTTGGGTGACTTTTGTACTGATTCTATGCCAAATCTATCGATCGATTCGTTTGGATCTGAATTTTGTACTAGATGAATGTAAAAACGTGTCCTGTGGTGATTGGGATCACACTAATTTGAACTCATACACTAATTTGACGTTGATGATGGTTTCCTGCACACTGATTGGCTACATCCTTCAGCCGATGATTCTTGTGTACATTATTTGGTCCATGTCGCTTGTCCAGTTTAGAATACACACTAAAAGCACTGCTCATTCGATTGAGCACCGTACTCCAGTATAGAATCACCTTGACAATCGATTTATTATAGCATTTTTCCAAGACAAGGCGACAGCGTACATTTTTAGTGCGGATCACGGCATGAGTCATCAAGGGTCCCACGGTGACGGTGCCCCGGAAAACACTCGCACCCCGCTAGTTGTGTGGGGCGCCGGCGTGCAGCCGCCTACCCTCAAGTCAGCCTTGGACACACACGCAGGTCGGTCGGTGCTCCAGGAAGTAGTTGCCTTTGATTTCATTTCGATTGATGGAATATACATAGTTGTAGGATCTGTGGGATTATTAGTGTACATTGAATTGTATATGCTCGTGATGATAATTCGTAGACTGGGTAGTGGAATAGCGTTGAAATGGAGTTTATAATTGTACTTTGTATATTTGTACTGCTATTATTACTATGGCTCTACTACTACTACACTATTGACGATATGACTACACTATTGACGATATGACTACACTATTAACGATATGACTACACTATTAACGATATGTTTACACTATTAACGATATGACTACATTATTAACGATATGACTACACTATTAACGATATGTTTACACTATTAACGATATGACTACATTATTAACGATATGACTACACTATTGACGATATGACTACACTATACCACAGTAATGTTACGATTTCTTTCTAGTACGTTGCTCGACCGTGTAAGTTGACTAGTCAACTAATTTGGACAATAGTTATTAGTGCTATGAATATAACTGATCTATTCGATCTTTTAACTTCGTTTACATTTTGCCTGGTTTTGGAACATCATTACATTTCAGCAGAAACTCATCAAACAAAGGTGACTAGTTCTGACTTGTCAATCCTTCATAGCTCATGGTTCAGGGTTTGCGATGGATGTGCCGAGCCATTCCCACGACCAAGTATTTGACCAACTGAAAGCGCACACTGTACCTGAAGCCGATGCTCTGCGGTACAAACTCGACGACTTCTCCATGATCTCATCAAATCTGTGTGGGTGGGTAGACTCTGGAACTTGTCTTCGTTTGTGCGCAAAGATGTGCTCCAAGCCGACATTGCACCGCTGGCGGCCGCGCTGCTGGGGCTGCCGTACCCGAGGAATTCCGTGGGGGTGCTCCCGTTCTCGTACATGGAGCAAGGGCTGTATCGGGCACGAGCGGTCGTGTTCAATGCCAAATCGCTGTTTGTGCATGCTTCGATCCGCCAGCAACTCAAGCAGAACGCGACGTGGCCCATCTTTTTTAGAGGATTTCCTCGGCTAGACCGGTGCCTCGGCCAGTTTGCCACGATCGACCGGGCGTTCGGGGCCAAAGCGTACGGCGACATTGAAGCCATCAGTCAGCGAATCATTGGCGATGCCTTGGCAGGATTGAGGCACTTTCAACGGTATATATATATATATATATATATTGTACGATGTATGTGGAGTTTATATATCACATGCGACATGAGTATGCCGGAGGTGGTATGAATTCCAAACCGAGCACGATATATCGATCCCATTGGTTACTCTCAAATTACTTGTCGCTGATTGGCTACATAAGGAATCGGGAAAGCCAATGAATTGGCGCGCAGAATTGGGTGATTTGAATTGTCCTTTCAGCCAAAAATGGATCGATTGTTTGTACTTCTATGTAAAAAAAGTATTTAACAGAGAAGTTGATTCATTGGCGGCCACTGGATGGTTTTGCTTGGTCGATCGATTGTCTGCCAGTGTCGTGCTTGATATTATTTATTCTAGTTTAAGAAGATTTTCTATATCAAAATCGAACCATTTTTGTCCTAATTTCCATCTACCATTGTGAATGTCAATTTTTTTCTTCTTTTTTAAATTTTGAACTAATTGGTATATATTTATTACCCATTATATTTGCTCACCCCACTCCAATTTTTCGAATTCACAATAGCAAATGCATATGGCATGAACCACTAGCATTGTGTATACAACGTGACCAGCGTGGTTTACCAACTACATGAAAAATAGCATACATGTGATTGTCCTTCTACTATTGCAAATATTTCGACTTTTGAGTGAATTAGCCAATAATAGCATTTGACCCAATTGAATTTTGTAAACTATCTAGTGATTAATATATAGCAGGTATTGTTCTGCGGAGGAAGTGCATTGAATCAGGACTTTGGATTGGCAGAAATTCAACAGAACGTGATTTGATTGGCTTGGGTGGCTCTTTAAAGTCCATTCGTTACGACATTCAATTCTGCTGGCGGCTCCAGTTTCGAATCGATTTGACAATACTAGTACTAGTACTACTACTAGTACTACTACGCTTGTCGATGAACGGGGATTAATCAAGCCTTAACTTGGTTGGCTGTGCCGTACCTGATGTTGGTTCTAGATACGACTGGCTGTTGCTCATGGCGATCATCACTCTCGGATACCTCGGCTGGATGCTCGTGTTGTACGTGGCAGTTGCCAGATGGCCATTTACCGAGTCATCGCTGGTGCAACATGACGACGGGTCGTGGGATATGGGGTCTGTGACCAGTGTGTGTGTGGGCAGTGGGCTGCTGTTTGCATACAACCACCAAGCGACGTCCATGTACTACCTGTACTTGGTGTTTCCCCTCGTGTTTTGGCGCTTTTTACTCCGTGAGCGACAGTTTCTCGTACGTCCGTGTCATGAAAAATATGCCGACACTCCAAATTTCGACTTGTTTTGTGCTGATTGATTCACCAAATCTCTATCGATCGATTCGTTGTCGTGACTTTTGTACATATGTCACGATCGCATTCAGTATCACACTAATTTAAATCACACACTAATTCGATGTTGTTGAAACATTGGTCCAAGAACTGAATTGGATTGGCCACTTGAGATTCGTGTTTTGTGTTTTGATTGGTCGATATATCGATAATTGTCTGCCTGCCATTTGGTTCTTTTGCTCATATTCAATTGAGAACCCAAACACTCCAATTTCAAATCGACAGTACCTATGATGTTGATACTATTCTTGTAGCTGGCGCAGCGCGGGGTCGGGTGGAGTGTGGTTGGCCTTGTCCTTGTCAGCATCGAGTTGATTGTGTGGGGCTACTCGAATCGAAGTGTATTTTCAGCACTCTGTCTCGTGATTGGAATATATCCCAATATGAACTCGATTTACGATCGCACGACTGCACGTATGTATGCCCGCCCAACTAGTACAGAAATTGTATTGTCCCAGCCCGAATTTGGCCTTTTTATATATGATTATTTGCCAAATCCATCGATCGAGTTTTTCGTGTACTGTGTGAATTGTGTATATGTAAAAATATGTCCTGCGGTGATATGCCCTTCATGCTAATACAAGTCACATACATGAATATTCATTGCTGATTGGTTGAACGGATGATTTCCTGCAATCTGATTGGCTAAATTCTTCTATCGATGATGCTTCTGTACATTTATATACTTGTGTCAATACATTCGACACGTCGCTCCAGGTTTGATGAAACAAAAGCTATGTTCTATTTTGTGCTTTTTTCTAAAATTGTTTGGATATTTGTTTGGGCGATGGTTTTTTCACCAAATTATCCATTGGTCGTCGATGGTATTATATTTTTATTTTTACATCCTGCATGTTGGATGAAAACTAATAATCAGGACGATTTGAAGGGTATATACGACTTAAACGGTTGCACGAGTTTGATTGGCCACTTGAAAGTGTATTGTGGGTTTTCATTGGCCAGTCGATTGTCTGTCGATTGAGCACCTACTTCGTATATCGACAATAACATCTGTTATAATCATCGTGTAGGGTTGTGGATGGGCTCGTGTGTGATCTTGTCGTTGTTTCCCCTCGCTCCGTTGGATTATGGAGACGACTTGAACTTGGTCGTCGCGGGTACGTGCATATTGAAGATATATATATATATATAAATATTTTGGTCTTTGGAGACGAAATTTTTGAACGTTGGAGGCAATTAGTTAATATCTTAGTTGACTCTACTTCAAACTTGTTCAATCTATATTGTGAAATCGCAATAAACTTTCAAAATTCGCGTGGTTTGGCTAATCAACATTGAATCACGCTGGAGTTCTGATTGGTTGAATATATTTATCTTTTCTGTAAGAGCCAATCAAATCCACTCAAAATTGGATTAGCCAATAGCGTCGATTCGTGATTCGATTCGACGAGGTGTGGAAATCTGTACCGAATCCACAATACTCTACAAAGTGTACCATCTATCTGGAATTGGTCAACGGAACTGAACCAGACTTTGGATTGGCAGAAACTCACCAGAACGTGAGATTTGATTGGCTAAGGCGGTTCTGTTAGTTCATTTCTCGTAAGACATTCGAATTTATCGATTTGACTAGTTCCCTCAACCATAAAGCCGTGTTTCGTTCTTGTGATCCATCATGCGTATATATATATATAATATATATATATACGCATGATGGATACATATATACATTCTCCAAGATACTGCTGATGTACTGTACAACGTGTTTGGCCATAACCACTTTATATATCGTATTGTAGGCGGTTGCATTGGGCTTGCCGTGGGTACTTTTGTGTGGTGCGCGGTCACCCCGACTCCGATTCACGGCAGCAGTCTCGTGTTCATTGGCTTATCCATTGGATCCGTTCTGGGCACTATGGCAGCATTGTCGTCGAACATGCACCTCGCGCCTTGGATTTATCTGAATTGGGTAAAAAACGAATATCTTGTTTCATTTAACTATTATATACCCCTAACACTCGATGTATGTCTAGTTTGCAGCGTTTGGGCCGCTCTTGTCGTTGTTTTGGGTTTCGTATCCCCCGTCCCTGACCCTTCGACTCGTGCAGATCATGATGGCTGTCGCCCCAGTATTCGTGTTGCTGTCGATTTCGTACGAAGTTTTTTTCTACGCAGCGTTTTGTACAACGTTGTTGCTGTGGATTCGCCTCGAAACGTCCACCGTGGCGCCACGTCATACCCGTAAGTCCTCTTGGAATGCTCCAGACTGGTGGTGTATGTATCGCATCGTGGTTTTATTGCCTTTCTTTCACCCCAAATTTAGTCTTTTGTGCATTACCAAATATCTATCGATCGATTCTTTGTATTGTCGATATTTGATAGTACAAATTTGGGGAGGGGGTGCAATCGAATCAATCGCGCCGACCAAACCGACAATCCACAATCGATCTGATTGGTTGAATTTCATTGCGAAATGGGTTTTGATTGGCTAATAATTTTGAGCTCATCTGAAGTAGCCAATCAAATCGATTTAAATTCCAACGAGAAACCACAACACAATGAAATTTCACTCGAAAGCTCAGTCACACACTAGTTTGATGTTGAATTGGACGTCGAATACAGTGTTTGATTGGCCACTTGATTCACGTTCTGTGTTTTGATTGGTCGATCATCGATTGTCTACCGATTTGGTTCTTCGACTCAGTCGATTGAGCACCCCACTCCAATTTCGAATCGACTTGACAATGTATTGTATTGTTTGAACGGCTCCGTATTTTTTGAAAGGCCAGTCTGGCTGCCGTCCAAATATTGCACCAATGATATTCCTGCAATAATTTGCGTGATATTCCTGCAATAATTTGCGTGTTCCATCATGGTATGTGGAGGCCACATCAAAAAATATTTTGCAAAAAAATATTTTCTCACCTCCCATATGAAAACGGAACTAACTCGTTGTCCCAATATTATTATTCGACATAATCAAAATTGTGGCATCCAGACTTGGCCTAACAATAAAATATTTCGTACTTCACACAAAGTAGTTCCACATTTCGTTTCATTTCCCCATGTCGATCTCACGACACGTAGTGTGCATTCCGCCAACATGTGGATATATATTGTGCTGATGCACCAAATCCATCGGTCGATGATTTGTTGTACTGAATTTTGTATCTAAACTTTGTGATGGCATTCACACTATTTCAAATCTCGCACGAATATCTCTGGTAATTGGACGAGTTTCATTGGCCACTTGAAAAAATCATGTTCTGCCATTGGATGGGAGGTCGATTGTTTGTCGATTGAACGAACACCCCAAATACAATACTGATGGCATGTATCTTGTCTAGGCCAGCATAGTACCGGGCTTGCAGTCACCCCCGAGGACATCCGGCTGGCGCTGTGGTACCTAATCTTCTTCAAGCTGAGCTTCTTTGCTACGGGCAACATTGCATCGATGAGCAGCTTTGAGATTTCATCCACGTTTCGGTTCGTGACAGTGTTCAATCCATTTGTCATGGGCGCTCTTCTCGTGCTCAAGATTCTGCTGCCCATGGTGATTGTCACGTGTGCATTTCACGTGTTGCTGACCCTCAAAGGCCACCACCCAAACCGGTATGTTTTCTTGCCAAATATATATATATTTATATATTTGTTGTTCTCGATATCGTAGACTGTTCTTGCTCGTGGTGTTACTCTCGGATGTGCTGGCGTTACACTTTTTTTTCCTCGTCAAAGACGAAGGCAGTTGGAAAGAAATTGGTAACAGCATCTCCATATTTGGCATTGTGAACCTCAAGATGGTATTTGTGCCGTTGCTGCTGTTTGTGGCCAAGTTGCTCTTTCGCCAGTCGACCGCTACCGATCGTTCGCTCCATTTGGATTAGTCAAGTTGTCGGAACCCCTTGTACTAGTAATATACATGGGTACCATAGACAACAGAACGGAACTATTTCTTTGAATTACGACCCGGTCGACGAATACACTACTACTAGTATTACTACGTAGTACTGTAATATACTAGCGCTTTGTCGTGTATTGAGATCCGAAAATCGAGAGGATCAAACACCCACAACATTCAACGTCCGGGGCATGGTTGGTCGAATATTACTACTGTATCAGGTCTTATTTTTTAATATTCTCCAACAAATATATATTATATATTTCTCGCTATACTCTAGTATCGTACAACGAGCTAGTTGTTTGGTTACTTGATGTCCACGAAAGCCACGATCACAGTCGTATCGTCAATCACTTGCTCTTCTTTCATCCAGCGGCGATTCGCTTCTAAAATCAACACATCGACCTAATAATATACACACACACATCAGCACTTTTTTCTTCCCAAACAAACATATATATATATATATATAGATATTATATATATTTATTCCCACCGCTTGCTTGGGGTCCGTGTGCGGCGCGATCATCTTGATCACTTCTTCATCACTCATGAATTCCCACAACCCGTCGGTCGCTATCACCAAACAGCGATCGGTCGTGTCCAGCGTATGCACAAAAAACTCTGGCTCCGAGCTCACCTAGTCCAACACACATAGTTGTCGTTAGATGCTATCTAATACAATCTATTTAAATATAGTGTCGTTTTGGAGTTACGAGGTGAAAACAATGAAAACGGTCCAAGTATGTTCATTACCCCAGCAGTATGCGCTACGGCATCGCCCAAACTTCGACTCATGGCTAATCCTGGCACGTCCATATGTCCCAGCCACACTCGCGGCGGTCCGTCAATGCCTACAATCGATCGATATCTTTCGCGTTAGCCAACATGTATATTTGATTGCCCCACAATATATACATATATATAGAATTATTTGCTTTTTCATGCGTCAAGTCATTCCAGACAAACATACGTTTCAAAAGGCGGCAACACCAACCCAACGTGAGGCCAACATGTCAAAACCCTATCTATCGGATTTGGAACGCACCGTCGTCATATTCGACGGCAAACACACGACCCCCCGAGGCCAAAATGCGCGCTTTCTCCGCGGGGAGGTCGGGTTTGTGGTCTTTCGAGAGGCTGCTAGCCGTGAGCAGACCCGCTTGGAGGAACCCCCTCGTGATGCGGGAGTCGCCGACGTTGCCGACAATGAGGAGCCGATCTCGGATAACCACGACGACGCCGGTGCTGCCGCTGAACTCGGTGTCGATGCTGGCATCTCGGATCACGCGCTTCTCGACGGCGTTGAGGGCAAATTGAATCGCCGCTACAAACAACACGCAACCCCATTATAAGGCCACGTCCACTAAAACATACATCCACATACATGCCCAACCAAGTACAGTACCTTGAATGCCCGCCGTGTCCTTGGCCACGTCGCCCGTGGGGGCAAATTGCGCGTGGTTGAACAACTCGGTCGGAAAGTGCGCTCGAAAGTACTGCGACACGCCGTCGCCGGCCTCTCCGTGGCCGTCGAATACCCCCAGGAGCAACGACTTGGACGGCGCGTGCATTTGCATAACCATGCTGTCCTGGTTCTTCTTGCGGGGGTTGTACGGAGCGTACCCTTTCTTGCTCACTCCGGCGTAGCATCCGATCGTGCTCGTGCCATTCTGGACCCCGTCGGCGTCAGCTACCGTGGACACGGCCGCCAGACCCTCCACGAGCTTATTGTCGCTCACGACACTCAGTCGACGTCGGGCCTGTTGAATCTCGCCGTCGTTTGTCTGAAATGATGCACCGTGTCAGACGATCGACTTTGATATCGGTGGCATGTTTGGTGGGGATATGGTCCATGGCCTGCCTACCTTTTTGGTCGAAATGCCCTTGGGTGACGCCACGTTCGTCGCGGTAGCTTCTTGCAGCTTGACCCGCGACATGGCGGCGGTGGCGCCAGTGGTAGACGCGGCGGCGGGCTTGGCGGGGGCGGCCTTCATGGATCCAGTGCGGGTCGACATGCTGGAAAGTTTAATCTTCGGAGATGGGGCAACGACTGATGAGTGGTGTCTGAAGCGGCGTTGTATTAATACACACCCTGGGCAGCCATCGTTTCACGGGAATCCCATTGGGGCATACTACTGGACGTTTCATGTTCTAATTATGAATATCACAAGGTTCAAATGTCCCTCGAATCAACTATTTTAAGAATCACTATGTCATCAATTGGCGTACATTTCGATGATCCAGTAAGACGACTTGTAATGCATTGGTTAGACCCCACTCACAATCAATAATAAACACTTGTATTTCAGCGTACTGTACGTCACTACCATATATTGTTGGCATCGCAGAGTACTAGTAGTACACTGAAGTAGGTGGTGCTATTAGCCGTTCATTCAACCTTCGGTATTACTATTAATAGTACTAGTACTACAGCATAACACATTGAGCGTGCAGATTGCCCCACACGAACTTTGCCTCACTCCTGGATTACCTCGAGATGGATGTGGTCGAACCACCCGACTAACTCCCCCTTATCATTAGTTATGCATGTAAAACTCATGCATATTTCTCAACAACAGCTTGGAAATTCAACGCCGCGTTGTCTCATATTCCAAGGTGACAGCTTCAATATTGCGCATACTGTATAGTGGTTCACAACATTCGTTCATAGCAATCCTATTATCCTCGATAAATGTGCCGAGGGAGTAGAGATGCCAATTATGTTCGATTCCGTGTAGCAATCTCAATCGCACGACGTCAACGCGGCGTCCGACGATATCTTTGGTGACGACAAACAATATCCAATGCAATGGGTGTCTATATATTATCGTAGTATCACAGTGTGGTTTGGCCTTTGGTGAGGGCTTCGAGCTTCTTCTCGAGCTTCTGGCGCCCCGTGAGTTCACCCCCGCCGCCCCCCCCCGCCGTCGGGGGTTCCATCGCCCCGTACGTGCCGCCCCGGATCGCGCGCAGTCGCTTCTGCAGCACAATACCACACACGGCCATCGGGAGTAGAAACAAGGCGTTCATGAACACGGACAGCGCAATGTTGAGGCACGCGCCGAGCAAGTCCTGGCACAAGATATTGTGCACCATCGCGTACTCTTCGTTGATCCAGCCGCAGCCGGGGGCGGACGTGCATTGCAGCGCGTTGACTTGGGTCCATACGTTCAAGGTCGCGACGGGGGTCAAAGTCGTCGTGACGAACCGCTCGAGGCGCTGCGCATACGCCCGGGCGAGCTCGAGCACCGACTTGTCCCCCCCCTTCCATCCTATTGAGTGTATAACAAACAAAATCAGTATCCATGAATGGATACAAAATCAGTATCCATGAATGATATTGTGAATATTCGGGTGGTTGGTTTGTCTAATCAAGAGATGGAATCACGTTGGAAACTTCGGATTAGTTAAATGTACATGTCCTTTCTGTAAGAGCCAATCAAATCCACCAAAATTGGATGATCCAACAGCGGCGATTCGATTCGACGGGGTCTCGAAATTTGTACCGAATCCACAAAATACATGCATATTTAAAAAAATCCAGTACCGTCTATGTTATATATATATATCATTCAGGTTGACAAGGCCATGAAATTTACATCTACTCTTCACGCAATAAGCAATGTACTCTATAGGCGCAAACTCGTGGTCGACGTAATGGCTGTATGCACTCTCAAGTACTTTAAAAGTATTGCAATTCGACATGCCATTCTGCCTGGCACCCCACCACAACAAATACAAATAATGCAATAACAGTACCGATCGAATTGGGGTAGTTGACGCCGCCGACAAAGTCCTGCCGCATACGCATGAGCTTATCTTGTACCGAGTTGCGCGCGCGAGTGTACACGAGTGCATCTCTGAACGTCGTATAACAAGGCGTCGCCACACCGCCAGTGCATTTGGTCTTCATGTAGCATAACGCAGGGTCCCTAGAAAAAGCATACCATGTAAAAAATATATTTCTTTTTACACATAACAGAGACGAAGAATAATAATTAATATATATATTTCCAAGGCATCGTACGTGTCAGAAGTGCAGTCAGCCGGGAGGGCTCCATTCACAAACAACGTCCACGGACGATCCAACACGGCGTAGTTGGCCATCGCCACCATATCCGACCCAATCGCATCCGCTGCCGTCTTCACAATTCCATAGTGTTGTCTACAAATATTATTTAAATATATATATATATATACATGCCACGTACACTGGGTCCCAGCCAAATTGGGTTTCGTTGTACGACATGATGTCCGTGCCAAGCGCACTCAACGTTGTGAACCGCGTCGCCATACCCAGCTACAACACATATATCAGTCTCAACGGAATATATATATATAAATATATTGGTTTTCGACTGCAAATCCATGTACCTGTTGTGCGACACGGTATCGCTCGGCAATTTCACACGATTTCGCATGTACTGTGGCCATCCCGAGCGCCGCAAGGGTGCTCGTCCCTACGCAACCTCTTGTCAGCACCCCATGTATACATTCTTCCCCACAAAATTCCCAACAAAAGCATCACAAAAATGTCCACAAGTACAGTACCCTTGATGCACGCGCCGACGACGCGGCTGGTTTCCGCGGAAAAGTACGGCGTCATGTCGTTCATAACCATGTCTAGGTACTGGCACCCGTCAAACCAGACGGCGGACACGGCGATGAGACACGACGCGACCACGAACGAGATGATGCAGAGGACGACGCCGAGGCCCCACGATGCGTGCAGGAGGTGTACCCACTTGGTTTTTTCTTTGCAGATGCCCTTGACAAACCCAGCCATGCCGAGAAATGCCACAAACAAACCCAAGATGAAAATGCTCAAGACGAGCCCCGATCGGGTGTACGAGATGCTATCAAACGTCATCTGCACGGACGCCACAGTCGCCCCCGAGTCGGACGTGGCACTCGCCACCGACGTGAGTATGTCTTCGGCGTCGTTGGCCGCTGAAAACAAAGTCACCGACCCGCTGTACACGGCGTCCCTTGTCATTTGAAACGTCGATTCCAATTGGTCCGCGACGACGCGCCACTCCGTGAGCGTCGCCTGGGGCGCCACGGACGAGCCACCGCAAATGGTCGCCGGGCATGTCAAGCACACGTCGCCGTTTTGGATACAAGTCTTGGGGAACGCGTTCGTGTAGGTCAAGTCAAAGTTGTCCCCGATAGACTAGACAATACACATGTGATGCGAGGGTTTGAGGGATTGACGGGATCGGAGTTTGAGGGGTTGAGGGGGGGTTGGGGGGTGAATAGAGTACCTGCAATTGAAGAGCGCCGGCAGTGACCCACGACGTGTCGGCCAAGACAGAGTGGACTTGGGCTGTGGTGATGCCTTGCAGGTCTTGAATCGCATGCAGTGGCGCAAGGAGGTTCTTGGAGTTGATGTTCAAGTTGCCAATGACTTCGGTGAGTACGTCCAAGAGATCGTGCATCTAACACATACATATATTTCCCCTGTCAGTCATAGAGTCACTGCTGTGTTTTGTTTGCTATTAGTACCCGCGCCGTGACCGTGTTGTTCTGGACGTACGCCGCCGCCGAGCAAATGAAAATCACGATCGAAAACACGAAAAAGGCGACTCCAGGAGTCATGATCCCACACCACGTGTACCCTCGCTCGACAGGGTCACGGCCGCCACATCGGTTGCAAAAGCAGCGCAGGATAAAGAACGCCAAAAACCCGAGAAATGTGAGCACAGCAAAGGCAATCCTACCAACAGGACACATACGATCGTAATAAGACAACAACATTGAGCGATGGAGATGGATTATACCCGGGGCCAGCGTACGGAGCCAACGACTCGGCGTAGTTTTTGGTCACCCATTTGTTGGCAGCATCGATTTGGTCTTGCGTGAAGCGAGGCAGGCGAGGCTAGAATGCGACCAAAGTGCGCATGAATATCCATAAATACGCCACAACTGTGAACATATGGCCTTACTTTGGTGGGGTCGGCGGTGGGCCAGAGGCAGTTGGGGAGGCGTTCGCACAGGTTCTTGGCCGCGCACGATCCGTCTCCAGGAACGACCAAGCACGTGTTGGAAGCGTTGCCCTTGTTCCGCTGGGCGTGGGGACTCGTGGGTGGCACGCACCGATCGAGTTCGTCGGTCGTCGATGTCACGTAGCAAAACGTGATCATCATGTTGGCCAGCGACGAGTTGTAGTACTCGACAGACTCGGACCGCATGCCTTTCATGGCGTTCACAGCGCTCGTGCCTTGTAGCACAGCTCGCGCTTCGTCCAGGGTGTCAAGGGCAGACATGTTAACGTTCCCGAAACCGCCGACGTCGCGCTTGGTCACGACGATGGGCATGACACTGGTCGTGAGCGACGGGCACTGCGACGTCCACGAGGTGTAGCCGGGGACGGAGCATTGGCCAGTGGGGGGCCACGACGGGTCGGCAGCCACCGCCACCGCCACCGCTGCATTAGAAAGGAAGAACCACCGCAGCATCGATCAAGTCAATCGAACAGTGCGTCGTCGAATGGGGGTATTCTCCAAGGGGTTAGTTATTCTTAGGATATCACCAACGTGATTGGATCGGAATGATCTATTTATAGATTGACTTGGATCTTCCAATCACAAATCGTCATGTTGGATCAGAGCGATCGGATTGGCCATCTTGTTTGACAGGGATCTTGAAGCACACCAGAACAATAAGAACATAGTTACTACTACTACTGTAGTGTAGTACAGTACGTACTAGCAGTATGCAGGAGTTCTTTACTGTTATTGTGTGTTTCCTTACTCAAAATTCCCTCCGGAGGTTGGTCGAATGAACCGCCCATTATTAACCAGAAAAGGCAAGGTGAAATAGGCGTTTTTGTATGCAGCGCAAGGTCAACCACCTTGCGAATTCCATAAATAAGTCAACAATCACTGGAGCTTCGAAAAAATATACTAGTAGTATTTAACTTTGAGAGGTAACCTTGTGCTTTCATTGTTTATACTACGTAGTAGTATCTAATCATGTTGCAGCGTTCATTCTTTTTAGCCAATCATACTACTTTGCTCGATTGTCAATAAACGCCCAAAATTGGCAAATTTGGGTGAAAAGCACAATAACGACCAAATCACGATGGGTTCGTCGAATCACTGGTAACTTCATAACGTATCAGTATGCGCTCGCGGCGTCCAGAGAGCTGGTGCAGCGGGTGGGCAACTTGGATAGTGACCTTATGAGAGATGAGTCCATCGGTGGCGTTGACAGTCTAGTCCCGGCTATCGAACGTGCTATGGTTTACATACACGGAACAGAGGAATCAACATCATTGAGCTCTCGTGAGCCCCGAGTTGGGGGCTGTACCTCCAACTCCCCGATCGTATTTATAGGGCAAGTTGATGTTGTGGATTCGATACGAATTTCCGCCGAATCGAATATCACGTGAATCGACGCTATTGGCTAATCCATTTTTGAGTGGATTTGATTGGCTCTTGCAGAAAGGACAAGTATATTCAACCAATCAGAACTGATTCACAATTGCTTCGACAAACCAGGCGAATTTTGGAAGTTTATAGCGAATAAATCACAATATTGTACGGTAAAAAGCTCTTTACGCGATGATGTCATGGGTCGTAATTTTGAAAATGATCGCGCATACACGGATTCGTCGATGTCCCATACATACTAAACGTGTCGCTAGGAAGAATTCCTTGTCGTGCACATGTTTGGGAGCTTCTAGCGGCTAATGTGTGTCCCATTCTCGAACGCTTGTCAACGCATGGTTAACTGCGAGTAGAACCTGGCGTTTCAACTAGGAATTGTCCTATTGAATCCGTGTAACTGCCAATAGAAAAGGCGTTTCAGCTAGGCATTGTCCTATGTTTCATGTCAAGAGGGGATAATTCCCCGTGGCATAAACTGGACCCTCTAACCGACTTTCAAATTAAGGCGTGTAAGAACATCAAGTGTCACAGGTACTGTACCAATTGTTAGAGGTTTTATCGGGTCAGTGTCGTCATTGCTCTTAGCCACCCAGAGGAGTGCGCGCCGCCGACACCGCCGCCATGTCCGTGACCGTCCTGATCAACGGCTATGGTATCCTTCAGGACCCACAAAACCGCTTCCCAGACATCTTTGTAAGAGTCTTCCCTCACGCCGTGCATGAGGATATCGACCTGACTGTGGGAGGGTGCTCCTCGTAGGTGTTTGTGTTGACTGTGTCGCAACAGCAGAACGTCGCCACGACGTCGTCCTGGACAGTGTACCGCCGTCTGGAAATGTTTGAGCAATTGAGCTTGAGCATTGGAGCGGAATTCCGCCATTTGAACCTCCCGCCGTGTCCATTGGTGGCGTCGGCGAACGTGTCCAACATGCAGGTGATCGAGCGTTGCCGCGACGACTTGTCGCGGTGGTTGGCGCCACTGCTCAGCTACCCCTACGTGAACTCGCTCATGCAGTCGCGCAGCTTCATCGACTTCATCTCTGCCGAAGCCAACACGATCCCCGCGGGGCTGCTCTTGTCCCAGCATTTTTTTCCTCAGGCCATGCACCACTCGACGTCGTTGTCGATTCCGATCCCAGCCGGCCAAGCCAACATTGGCGAAATGGACGTACGCATCTTATATGCTTCTTCCCACGAATCACGTTCATCTAGATGGACTTTATGTTCTCCGCCGACGACGAAGCATCCGGAGCAAAGGACGACGACGTACGCCTGTCGTCTATCTCGTCGTGTTTTGCTGACATCTTAGCAGATGTTCCATTTTGGCGACTCGCACCAACCGACCACCCCCGTCGCGACCTCGTCAACAGCCCCGCCTCCCGCCGACGGCAAAGTCACGCTTGAAGACTTCCATCTCGTCAAAGTCATCGGCAAGGGCTCGTTCGGGAAAGTCATCCTCGTGCGCAAGCGGGACAGCGGCATCGTGTACGCCATGAAGGTCCTGCGCAAGGAGAACATCATCAAGCGCAACCAGGTCGAGCACACGCGCACAGAGCGCCACGTGTTGGGCTACGTCCGCCACCCGTTTATCGTTGGTGAGTGTTGTAGAACTATATGTGCCCACGTTGGGGAATATATATATATATATACGATGCCTTGAAATATATATATATATATATATATATAGATGTGACGATCGATACATTGCGTTGATGTATATTTATGCGACACCGTTGGGAATATGTGTCCAACTCTCAAACGATATATTGTGTGCCTAGATATATATATATATATTGTGTTGATATATATTGATAGATGAAGATGTGACGCCTTGGGAATATGTGCCCAAATGTTGAACTATATACATTATCCCTTGATATATATATATATATATATATATATATATTTATTGCGACGAAAAGATACATGGCGTTGTAATATATATGTATATATATAAATTATATAAATACATGTAACGCCTTTTGTGGACAACTTGTTCCGTTGTATGATGTATGCACACACACACACACACTCATTTGAAAGCACATGCTTGTCTGACACGCCAGTGACGATTGATAGTATTGATCCTGCCCTCGAATATATATATATATTCATAGATATATATACATATATGAAAGATTAAGTATTATATTAGGCCTGAACTATGCGTTCCAAACCGTGGACAAACTCTACTTTGTGCTCGACTACTGTGCCGGGGGCGAATTATTTTTCCATTTGGGCAAAGTGCAGCGGTTCAAGGAGCCCCGCGCGCGTTTCTATGCGGCCGAAATTACCCTCGCCATCGAATATGTGCACAATCTGGACATCATTTACCGCGATTTGAAGCCGGAAAACGTTCTTTTGGACGAGAACGGCCACATTCGGCTCACGGACTTTGGCTTGTCGAAAGAAGGCATTCAGGTATTGTGCTTTGGAGTGAATAATTTCATTGTGTTGTGGTTTCTCGTTGGCATTTAAATCGATTTGATTGGCTACTTCAGATGAGCTCAAAATTTTATGAGCCAATCAAAACCCATTTCTCAATGAAATTCAACCAATCAGAAATCGATTGTGGATCGGTTTGGTCGGCGCAATTGATTCGATTGCACCCCAAATTTGTACTATCAAATATCGACAATACTGTATGAGTAGTACTCGGAAAAAACACGAGAGATGGCAACCTGTAGTCAATTAAAACGAAATGTATGACCATTCTGATTAGGACGACTTTTCCGGCGCGAATTCGTTTTGCGGAACCCCGGAATACCTGGCCCCGGAGATTTTAAATCGTTCTGGACATGGCCGAGCGGTCGACTGGTGGTCCCTCGGTGCCTTGTTGTACGAGATGTTGACGGGGTTGCCGCCGTTTTACTGCCGGGATCGGTACGTTTGCGAGATAATAATATTATTTTTTCTCGCAGTTTTTTGCGATTAATTATTACGAGTAATTAATAGTAGCAGTCCTAACTATGTCTGTTTATAGCGACAAGTTGTTTGAAAAGATCCGCCAAGGCGAACTCACGTTTCCAAAGTACCTGAGTCCGGAGGCGGTGGATTTGCTGAGCAAGTTACTCGAACGCGACCCGACCAAGCGCTTGGGCACTGGCCCCACGGATGCCGGTATGAAATGTATTGTCGATTTGATAGTACAAATTTGGGGGTGCAATCGAATCAATCGCGCCGACCTAACCGATCCACAATCGATTTCTGATTGGTTTGTTGAATTTCATTGAGAAATGGGTTTTGATTGGTTAGTAATTTGGAGCTCTTCTGAAGTAGCCAATCAAATCGATTTAAATGCCAACGAGAAACCACAATGACATTATTCACTCGAAAGCACAATATTCATGTGTTGCATTATATATGTTCAATTGAAAAAATAGCACCATTATGAATGTGAATATTGGTGGTTGTTATTTGGATTGAATTTTTGTAGTTGGTTGCATTCTAGAATTGCTACTACGAGTAATAATGTGTACAGTATGTATGCTGCAATATCAAGTACAACTTGGCTACATTCGATATGATGTGGTTATTTTTATTGTATAAAATATACTGAAAAGTCACGGATTATTTTTTATATTGTATAAAATATATAATTTTAAAAACCTAGAGCAGAAATGACATATACATGTATATATGATAAATTAGAATAACCCCGATTGTGTTGTTTATCCTTGATCCTGAAACACAGTATTATATTTATCAAGTATTCTAAAACATGGCGAATCATTTCGATATTATATATTGAGTAGCATGCATCATCACAATCGACTACTACTATTAGTATGTGAATGTTTTGGTTTGGTTGGGTGTTTGTATATGTACTGTTTGCCAGATACATACATATGTTTGCTGTGGTTGAACATGCTGGGTAATTTGGCTGCTTGACTGACTACTACTTACTATAGGGGAAATCAAATCGCATGCATTTTTCAATGAAATTCAATGGGAGCAACTCGCACTGGGCCAAGTACCGCCGCCGTGGCGCCCGTCCTTCAACGGCGCATTGGACACGTCTCAGTTCGACAAGGAGTTTACCGACATGCCGATTTTCAGCCCCGACAACCGCAGCGGCGGCGGTGGCATGATGGGCACGAGGTATGCCAAGATGGATATTTAATAATATTTATATATATATGTTTATAGTGTCGGACGCCGGCACTTGTATCGCGACACGGAGGGGCTGTTTCAAGGGTTTACATACTCGGAAGAGGAATCGTACATGGAGAAAGCGAATCCGTCGGCGCGACAGCCGACGTCTGGGCATCACATGATGCCCCCAAGCCAGTTTTAGACGTGTGTCGGACAAGAACAATGTACAACAACGAAAATACAAGCAATATATATAGGAAAAAAATGTTCAATCATCCATCGTGTTGAGTAAGTAGGACGAGTATTATTAAAATGTTCAATCATCCATCGTGTTGAGTAAGTAGGACGAGTATTAGTATTATAATAGTTTGTACTTTGGTCCGAAATCTTCGGTCAATTGTTTTCATAGTTTAGGCGTTTACCTCAATTTTGTAATAAGTTAGTAAATACTCCGAGGATATATTTACAGTACATATATACTGTAGCTCCAGCAAGCGGAATGTGATGCTCAACTGACACACGCAGACACATTGAGTACGAATGTACTGATTGCAGCAGCAGTTTTAACGTTAGTGCGGATGAATATAGAATTAGCATACTGTACTACACTCAAAGAAGGACCTAGAACGTACGTCTTTGTCAATATCGGGGAAATGAAAATGAGAAAACTTTGGAACGTCTAGAACAACGCACAATACACGGCGTTTAGAAGACATTGGGTGTTACCCCCCCCCAGGACAGTAGCCCCCCCATATAATTTCTTGAGGTATACACGTAGTTATAGCGGATGTTTAGAAACCGTCTATCGTGTGTATACCCCTAACTTGTACTGCATATTCGGCTTGGTGGTGACTTGAACACTGGTACAATAAGACGACCAACCTCTTTCTGCCTAGTTCCATCGAAACCATCCAAACAACAGCAGTAATCACGTCAGAAAACACGAGCGATTCATTATCTACGCGAACACTATGCAAAGCAAAATATAATGTAAAAATCTATCGTCGTATGTAGCGTCAGCTAGACTTGTTTGGACAGACATGTGGCGGGCGGCAGCGATGGCCCATTGGATTTCTTGGCGGCGTCGATGGCCTCACTGTCACTACCTGCAGCACTCGCCATCGGTGCCTTGGCTCCCTACAAAGAATTAGCACGAGCGTATCTATGATCCAAAACGCGTTGGCTAGATCTGCTATATATATACAGTATATATCAACAATATACCAAATAAATCTAACCAACCCACTAACTTAATCAACAGGACTGCTGCCAACATATACCTTGGTTTTACCGCGAAGACGCTTCTCCAGCACCACGGCCATGACAATCATGGGAAGGAGGCAAACACTCATGACAAAGAGGCAGAGGGACACGGTGAGGGTGGACCCGACGAGGTTGGCGCACACACTCGTGTACAGCAGCGACGTGGTTTGAGCCAGCCACGAGCACTGCATGGCGCACTTCATTTGGTCTATATGGAGAAGTAGGTTGCCCACGGCGCCGTTTTGAAGCGCGCGCAGCGAGCCAGAGCTGATGCCGACCAGGGCTGAAGTGTAGGTGTTGGCCATTTGACGAATGGACGACAGGTTCAATGGCCACGTGGACGAATGCACGACCGCCAACCCCGTGAAATCGCCCTATGTGTGATTTGTCCAACAGAGTCAGATCACATTGGTGGGTGGTCGATATACAATTATTGTGTTTTGGATGTGTAATTTCAATGAAGGAATTTGGCATTGGCATCATTCCTTGCGAATGAGCGATATGAAATAGAGACGTTTTGTGAGATCACAAACCAGATCAACAAATATACCATTCGAATTGGACACACTGAAACAAATCACAAAACAAGGGCTCGACAAGAGTTATTTGTTTATTTATTTTGAATTCGCTATAAACTTCCAAACGTAGGGGGATTTGTACCTGGAGCTGCTGCAGTTGCAGCGCGATTTCATCGGTCGCGACGACGTAGTCGTGCGCACGGCTATAGTCGGTTAAGCACGTGGTCGTTGGATTGCAATAGTTGGTCATAAAGCAAATGGCCGCCTGCCGAAAGGAGAAAACGAGAGTCAATAGTGGCAACAACTTTACATATGACATGACAAGGCGAGAGCGCAGCTAGGGGAGAGAGTGGGGTACTATGTATATGTACCGTAGAAGGGGACGTTGAGCACAGTGGACCTGCGTCCGGCAAGCTATAGACGACCCACGGCGTGAGAAGGTTGGCCCTAGTGATACCAGGAGTGGTTGCCGCCGCTATCGCAATGAACTGGTCTGCCGTCGAGTTGGACACTCCAAACGTCGACAGGTCAAAGCTGTACATACAGTAAGTACCACATGTGAGTTTATACTGAACGAGTACAATGAGTTGCATCCCTGGAAACACGATGATACGACCTCTATATGGAATACAGTTAAATAGGGACGTAACAATCCTACCCGTTCATTTGATTAACAAGCGGTTCGATGCTCGACAGCATCGACGGACCTGTCGTGGCCACCGCCAAGTCTGTCGGCAACGAGCACGAAAATGCCAACGACGAAGACAAGTCCAATGCATCCAACGGGCTTTCCCCTGCGTAGCAACTGTCGAGTAACTTGGCGAGCTGGCCCGGCCACAGGGACTCTATCAATCAACAATACATCGTTTTGTGAGCTGAATATCCTTCACAGTAACTAGTTACTTTTATCCTGATACATTATTATTGGTGTGGACAATAGGTTGGTCGTGATACGACGAACTTACCAACGTCGTGCTGCACTTCATTCACGTAATGACATGCGTCGTTGCCGAGAATAGCCATGACCAACATGGCAGCCGAGATGAGGAACCCCACAAAGCTTGCAAACGCGCCCAAAGCCCTACATATTCAATATATATATAAATATTATTCTATATTTATAGGAGCATGTCATCGATTCGTAGTAGTTAGTTGTACCAGCTAACATGCATGGCTTTGATGAGGCGGGCCGAGTTGGAGCGGAAGCCAGCACAAATGGCCATCACACCTGCACATCCACCACATCATGCCTCCTTCAAACCTCTTTCACAACGAGGATAGCAAGCAGTACAGTACCAAACAGTGCCACGATCAAACCGAGCACAAACACCGCGAGTACCACTTCCACGCGGTACGCCGCAATGAGTTTGAACGATTCCCATGCTACCTGGAGACTCACTTGGCTGTCGGTGGCTCGCGTTCGCACCATCGTCAAGAGCGACGACGCAGCGTCCATGGCGCCTCCAATCGTGCCATGGGCGCTACGTACTATATCGTTCATCCCAGTTGACATTTGAATAGCATATGATCATGTATGTCCAGGTCGTCCCGAGTTCGATTCCGGTAGGTAGATACAGTACGGTAGTTTTTTGTAGTTGACGAGGAAAAAAATGTATGGATTGCGCGGTTGCCATCATGGTGCATTACCTGGCGATACTGTCTTGCATGGTCGTGGCGGTTCGATCCACCGACTGGTGGACAGTGTCGAGCGCTACCAACCATTCATTTAACGCAGCTGGAAACGCCGAGCATATGGACGGAGGACACGCAATGCACACGAGGCTGGCACCGAGCACGCAGCCGACCGGAAATGGCCCCACGGACGTTTGCATTGCGGTCGTGAGTGTCGTTGTGACTTGTTGCAACGTGGTAAAGTCTTGGTGAATCCACGCCGTGTTGGAGACAACTACGTCGACACATCCCATTCACGCAACCATACATAACAATGTGAAGTTGGGTAGTAAGTAGTACACATATATAGATAGACTAAAGGCCTGAATGTCAAGCCATACTTGCCCACCATTTTAGTTGGACATGTATACTTTGGATGAGGAGAAGATGTAATACTAGTAGCATGTTTGTACTATACCTTGATTAATCCGATCCGTGGTCGAATTCAACTCTTGCTGCACGGCGCGCACGGGCGTGAACGCATTCGCTATCCAAACAAACAGGAACGTTATACTGTGGATTCGATACGAATTTCCAGACTCCGTCTCCCCGCTGAATCAAATCACGAATCGACGCTATTGTCTGATCCATTTTTGAGTGGATTTGATTGGTTCTTGCAGAAAGGACAAGTATATTCAACCAATCACAACTCCGGTGTGATTCAATATTGATTAGACAAACTTTGGAAATTTATAGCGAATTTACAATACAACAACTACGATATTCATTGCTTAGCAACGCGCGAGATGACACCCCCATGAAACCAATGACAACTAGAAGTTGTTGACATGCTTAGTTTCAGACGTACTGGACAGGATGTTCAAGTTGGCAAACGTCAGGTCCATCGCTTGAAACGCTCCTTGGACCCCGTCCGACATCATTTGGTTCTGCGTCCACGCTACGGCCGTGAGCCCGGCAATCACGAGCGAAAAAAACACGAAAATTAGCGCCGGCACGACTTTGCCGCACTTGGAGTAGCTAATATAACAATGTTCATCAAATTCAACGATGAACGATGCGAATATATATGTACCCAAACATCAAACGTCCATCAGGGAGATATCAAGGGTTGACGACGACGACAAATGCGGTAGCGTATTTGTCGTTGATCTGCACCATGAAACTATATCAAACGGGAATACAATATATATATATATAAATCAATATAATTATACAATCGGAATATTAATAAATCGTTCACATTGAATTGCTGCGTAGTGCAAAGGTACGACAAATAAATACGCTCGTAGTACTGTACCCGTGCTTGAAGGGGCTGGAGCCGTAGCACCGGCCAAGGCAACATCGACACGTGACGAACGCTGTCGTGGCCACCAGCACGACCATCGACAAGAACAGCCCTGGGATCACAAACGGGACAAACGACTCCATGTACCTACAAGTAAGTCCCCATCATGCTTGGATTCTTTCTGGAACAGTGTCACATAATTATATATACATACGTCGTCGAGTGCATCAATCAATGACTCCCGGCGTACGTACTACTACTACTAAACTACGTCAAGGTTCTCCACACATTCATGACAAATGGACTCCAACTGACAACTCAAAACAGCATCGCTTTTTGAGCCGAGATATGTATATATGGCCCCACATTATACTGAACATTTGTACATACCCAGCATGTACCCATTGCGTGGCAGCATCCAGCTCAGCTTGACTAAAGTACGGCTCGCGGTTGTCCACTGGAGGAGGCCAGTAGCAAGTCGATTTGCGCTCGCAAAGGCCAAGGGCGGAGCAGTTGCCAGGCCCCATCACTTGCACACACGCCTTGCCCGTGGTATCCATCGCTGCGTACGGGTCGTCTACATGATATATAATGCCATGAGGTACTACTGTATATGTAAAAGTGCTGGAATGGGTATAACGCTATCGGGATATTTGTCGTTGTCGCGTATGTTAAGTATAATATGAGCAGTATAATGGGTACCGTACTTGGACCAACACAACGCTCCTTGTCTGCGTCCGTGAGCGTCGACGCACACCCCCACATGGCCATCAAATCTAAACGCACACATATATCATATATATATATATATATATATATTATACATAATTCAAAAGTATATATTAATATAAGAAACACTCTATTGCAGCGATGACGAATGTGGATACACGACCAGGAGGATTATTTTGATGTGCACTCCATATCATCATATACATGTATATATAATATATAATATATACATACTAGTATACTGTATGCTACAGGACAGCATGGACCAACCAATAAATGGGCTCGGTACGAATTATATGTTGCATACGAGGAGACGTCATGCTAACTCTTACCATGTATGCATACAAAACCACGAGGATTATTTTCCACCGTGGCAAATCGGTAGTACCTTGTATACTGTATATATATATATATATATATATATATATATGAATACGGGACAACATGGATTATACACACGACGACTCTGGGCTGGGTACGTACGCAAGGACGTTCGGAACCAATTTTGATCGTAGCCGCGGATGGCGTCGACTTGATTGACGAGGGTTTGCGTTGCCGCCTTGGAGTATGCTTCAGCCCCATCGACCAATGTGTCGACCTAGTCGTCGCCCCCGACGAAGTGAATAGCTAGTTAGTCATTTCGTTGTTTGGGGGTTCATCGTACAATCATCCCCCAGGGTTTGATTAACACAAGCAAACACATGAAGGGGAGATATAGATGTCAAAGCGCACATTCCAACACCTCTAACAGCATTTTATATCGTGTTTTTGGAGAGGGGACTCACACTGAGAGCCGATTTCGCCGTCGTGGTCGACGTAGCTGACAAGGTGAGCGTAGATTGCGTGGCAAAAGGCGTGAGATCGGCATTCAGCAATGCACAAGTCGATTCTGCCATGGTTTTGCAAGCAGTAGCAGGATTGGAACTGGTCGAGGATGCAGGGTGCAAGGCGACGGCCACGCCTAGCATACGGAACCCGCTCACCATGCTTCTGTATGTACGTAGCACGTCAATGGTACCAAGTACCCAACCAAGCCCGTTTCGTGCGTGTGCAGTTAGTTTTAGGGTTAAAAATAGAAGGCGCACGCGGCTAACTGCCCATGGAATATCGAATATGACGACGGTGTCAATATTGTTAGATGCCACCGACGAATGGAGTTTGTCCTTTTACCCCACTTGATCCGCCAAATCTCTCATCGATCGATTCGTTGGACTATGAATTTTGTATGTAAATGTGTTGTCTGGTGGTGATTGTATTGACACGAATTTAGGTTTCGCACTCTAGTTCGATGTTGAGTATGGTTTCCTGCAATTTAATTGGCTCGTTCACCGATCCTACTACTCTTAATTTGGCCATCTGTATGTATACTAACTAGTTGCAAGTTCTCGGCAAGAGCTAGAGCTGATTTAGTCGTCGCTGTCTTCATCGTCCGACAGCGACCATCGAATAGTTTGGACCTTTTCCGCTTCGCTTTCCTCGCTCTCTTCGTCGGACGAGGCCCTACACATACATCACGATGTGAATATATATATATATATATATATATATATAGACCCGTTGTCGCTCGAGCTCGAGCTGCTCTCAGCGTCTCCTTGCTTGAATTTCTTTGCATCTGGACCGTTGTTAGCCGCGGCATCTACGAAAAACGTTGTGATCAATATTTACATGTGTTGATATATAAGACGGATAAAAGTGATAAGTCCTGGTGACCATATATAATATATATATATATAATACATATTGACCAAATATAAAAACTAGTTGTCGTACGCTCAGCTTTGCGCTTCCGTTGCGCCTCCACTTTAACCCGCAATGCTTCCAAAGCGTCGGCGGGAATGGGGTCGGTAGGTCGCAAGTGTCCTGGCAGCGCCACGTCGTACTCCTATCATTCATACAACAAATAGGTATCGTCGATATATATTATGACCACATACCGCAAAGACACTGAGGCCACGCAATTTCACTAACGCTTCCACTGATAGTTCCACTTCCCTGTCCAAACGAAATCCAAACGATAGCACCATTAGAGAGTTAAATCAATCACTATAAACACAAATATATATATATAATATGGATCTTTACAGCATACCCTTCCTTCCAGCCAGGTATTAACCCGTTGTCAGCGGCACCGCCACCCAAACTTGCATACGAAATCGCGCCGCCAACGCCGCCTTCGACCAGTGGACTGGCGAGGTCGGCCTGTTGACCCTTCTTGAACGCCTCATAACTGGATTCTTTTGTCACAGTGGCTTCAATAACTAGAATATCCGACAATATATATAAATATATATCAGGATTGAATGATGTTGAAGGAACCAGCACAACGGCGAAATAGGTAGCACGAGACGTACTGCCGCGACTGAGTACGCCAGCGCGCATCATCTCTGGCGTCGGCGCCGGCGGGACAAAGCCAAACATTGGGTACTACACAACAACACATATATCAAAGCCAATCAGCGGAACTACACCCCAGGAAATACAACGATGGAGGGGGAAGGTTATGGAGGATGTACCTCTGGCTGCCAATTGGGCGGTGCGCTGGTTGAACCGGCGATCTTGTGCGCATAGGCGACGATGTCCAATGGATCCAGCACCACTTTCGATGCCGCGTCCTGCGCGCACTGAGTCAACGTCCGTCGGTGTTTGGCCAAGACGCTCGCGATGGACTGCTGGCTACGAGTAGACGAGTGTAAGTGGTGGTTTTGGCACGGGAAGATCGAAGGGCGACACGGGGTGTCGTCTGTCGTGCATCATGTTTGTACCCGGATCGTAGTTCCTTGGCGTAGCGGACGATCTTTTGTTCCTTGTCGGCAATCTGTGCTTTGAGGGCATCCAGCTCCTTTTGTGCGGTTTGGTGCTGGTTCACTATGTCTCGTGTGAAGAGATGTGGGATGTGGGGAAGGTCGTACGCTGCTTGACAGTGCGAAGGAGCTGCTTGTCCTTGGCCACGACCATGTCAAAGTAGTCGTTCGTGGAGCGCAGCATCGCGGGGTTCACATTGGCGCTGGTGTGGGAGAGCGATTCCAGCAGCTTGTACGTCAGGAACCGGTGCTCATTCAGGCTAATCTCCACGCCTTCGCGAATCGTTCCTGTCATGATGATCCCGCCGCTCCTTCGGCAGTGGTGGTCTGTGATTGGTTCAAAAATCACCACACGTATGCTATTGTGAATTTTTGCTATTATACTAATATAGAAATGTTATAACCCGTTATAATACGTAAAGATACTACGATGAAAATGTTATAATTGCTAGTCCAGTTGCGAATAAGTGTGGTTTGGTTGTCTCCATCACGACGTTTTCGTCAGACTACATCATATCAAGTGACTGGAAATTCGAGAGGTTTAGAGCATCTCCAACGGTAAATTCTAACCTATTACTAGTAGTAGTTAATTCGTTTTTCGATTGCTATCTTGGCACTATCCGGATTTTTTAGAAATTTCGTCCCGCAGAATTTCTATTTTCGCGTGAAATAACAACCCTAGCGTACACACCACTACATATATCCGTAACTTCGAATTGAAATACTATTAGTAGAAATAAAAACGCCGTTTGGAGATGCTCTTAGCAACTACTATGTAGTAAAGCATAGTTAGTTACTACAGTACTAGGTAATCTTTAACGCTACGAGTAAGTTACTGGTAACGAACGCAAAACAGCATTGAATTCGACGCTGGAACATCGTATTTTTTTGTTACTTTCTACTCCTCGTCCTGCGCAGACCACAGCGTGACGTTGTCGCGAAGCAGTTGCATAATCAGCGTCGTGTCGCGGTAATTGTCTTCTGACAAGGCGTCCAGTTCTTCAATGGCATCGTCAAAGGACTGTTTGGCCAGTCGAATAGCTCGGTCGGGGGAGTTCATAATGTCCGAGTAAAACACGGAGAAGTTGAGGGCCAACCCGAGCCGAAGGGGGTGCGTGGGGGGCAACTCTGTCGTCATGAGGGACCACGCCTTGTCATAGCTAGCCAGCGCGAGCTTGGCGCTTCCGCTGTTGCTTTGGGTGTCTATTTCGGCCATGTATCGGTAGTAGTCGCCTTTCATCTTGTGGTAGAACGCCTCGCCCTCCACTGCGGTCGCCTTGGGAAGAATGTGATCGTCGAGGATGCCCACCATCTCCTGGCTCAAGTCGCGCACTTCTTGCTCAATGTTTTGTCGGTACGATTGGATAGCAGCCGCCTTCTTAGGGTCGTCGACCTTCGCTTCAATCGCACGCATCACTCGCCACGCAGCCCGACGGCTGGAAATTTCGTTCTTGAACGCGACAGCAATCAAATTGCCTTCCTCCGTCGATAGTTCGTCTTCAAAGTTTACGGCCACGGCTTTCATATGTTCTGCCATTTCGTCGTAACGCTCGGCTTCTTCGGCAAGGCGGGCCAAAAAGATCATCGTGCCTCGGTCCATGTTGAAGATGTAGTTGGCAAATTTCAAAATGGGAAATCAATTCGCATACAACGACCAACACTCGACTTGGAATGTAGGTTCCCTATCCCCCTCCTTCCTCTCAAACTGCATAAAGCACTAATGTATGAGAAATGCAGAGTGTCAACCTGCTGCACCTGATGGGGTCTACACGGTCCCGGTATTATATCGATCGATACTTACTCCGAGTTAGCGCGCATGAAAATCATCTATTCAGTTTATTGTACTTTACTTCCGAAACATCTATTTTTGGCACTTCGTAGTAGTAGTTTCCGTCCTATAGGGTTAAAAAAATCAATTTCGAGTAGAGTTGGTGAACCTACGGATAAGATTGGAAGAATGCGCGAACGTTCCTGGAAATCTTGTTCCCCATCCCCCTCCAAAAGCAACGGTTGTTGTGCACCCCCCAGTGGAGGCCCCCCGAACCTACCAAATAAATACCGGTAGGTCCTAAAGTTATGTATGTACCTTCAACGAATACCATATCGAACGTAGTTGGCGTGTCCTTTATGGTAGTTTAATGACGTGGCAGTTGTGATCAGGGGAATACACTGTGCGGACCGCCCCCTGATCACAACGTCCAAGTTCGAATCCGATGGTAGTCGCATTGTTTGTGCTATCTGTCCGTTCCATCGATCCACACATCGAGGAACAAATGGATGGACAAGATTGCCTGGCATTTGCCTAATACGCGAACATTCTTCTTTGCACTCTATCCCCCAGCCCCCTCCATTGATTTTTCGCGTACACCCCGACTACCACGATCGTGTTCAATTACATATGTATGTTATGCCCCCTCACTCTGACGACCGGTCAAATTTGTCGCAATAGGCCTCAGACGATGGCCGCCAGAGTGTGGATTGATGGGGCTGAGAGAGCCCTGGCGATGTGGCTGCAATGGGGTTCGAACTTGAAAGTTGCGATCAGGGGGGGTTCCGCACAGTATATCCCCCAGACAGACCACAACTTTCTAGTCCAAATAATATACTCGTGTTGAGAACTCGTAGTTAACGCAGGTACTTGTCTGTCTGGCGTTATGCACCATATCATACCTGCAACTTGACACCTACATCCTTGAGCATTAGCAAAAACAAGCATCCTCATCATGCTGAATGGGATTACTTTAACCAGGGTGACGGCTTTGAACAACATGCAATCGCACACAATACGAGCCAAGAAATCAATTTAGCTTATATCCATCTACGCGGCACTCGACAACCACAGCGTCACGTTGTCACGAAGCATTTGCATAATCAACGTCGCGTCACGGTAGTTGTCCTCCGATAGGGCCTCCAAGTCTTCAATGGCATCGTCAAAGGACTGCTTGGCCAATTGAATAGCTCGGTCGGGGGAGTTCATAATGTCCGAGTAAAACACGGAGAAGTTGAGGGCCAACCCGAGGCGAAGGGGGTGCGTGGGGGGCAACTCTGTCGTCACAACGGACCACGCCTTGTCATAGCTGGCCAGCCCCAGCTTGGCGCTTTCGTTGTTGCTTTGGGTGTCTATTTCGGCCATGTACCGGTAATAGTCGCCTTTCATCTTGTGGAAAAATGCCTGGCTTTCGACCGACGTGGTCTTGGGCAAAATGTGATCGTCGATCGTAGCCAACACTTCCTGGCCCAACTCGCGCACTTCGCCTTCAATGTTTAGACGATACGCGTGGATAGCTGCCGCTTGGTCAAGGTCTTTCGCATTGGATTCCATGGCTTGAATCACTCGCCACGCAGCCCGACGACTTACCATTTCGTTTTTGAACGCCACGGCAATCAAGTTGCCATCCTCGGTTGATAATTCGTCTTCAAAGTTTACTGCCACAGCCTTCATGTGGTCCATCATTTCGCCATATCGCTCGGCTACTTCGGCAAGGCGGGCCAAAAAGATCAAGGTGTCTCGGTCCATGTTGAAGATGTAGTTGGCAAGTTTGACAATGAGTTCACAAGATGCCAGCCAGCACATGTCATCATTCCCATGAAATAATCAAATCTATTTTTCACTAACTTATAACGTTCAATTGATACAAAATGCGCTGGTGGTATAAAGCGATGATCTTTCCGCCTCGTCTCGATAATCAAAGTAACGTTAATGTACTTACCGTCATCCTTGATCCATCCCCTTTGCCCTTACTGCAACTATGCTTCTGGAGGCTAACTGTAAGTGCAAGTTTTTTTCGCTTGTCGATAAATTGAAGTCCTACTGTACTGTAGTAAGATTAGCATCAAATGTATCGATGATACGTTTGGGATGGATGGCTACAGGCTGTACCGGGTACTAGTACTCGTTAACCAGTGCGTTTGTCCACTGCTTATTAACATGCGTCAGCAAACTACTGTATCGGCGACATGTACGAGCCGCTCAATGGATGGAAGTGGATGGGCAAGAAAATTGCAACGAACTTTCAAGCATGTTCTTGACTGTATGTAATCACTTACCCTGCCTGGTACATGGATCATCCATTTACCCGTTGTCTAGTAGTAATCCTAGTGGTCCTGTATCTGTTTTTTCTTTTCCAATATTTCCCTCCCATTTTCCACAACTAGCATGCCACGTACTATTAATACTATTATTAATAATACGTACAGTAGTACATACAGTACTACACCGAAGTTCTTGTCCAAACAAAGACTGTCGACCCAATTGTTGCAAAATGTGCTGCGATGTCGACACACACAACGCTAGTACTAGTACGTGAAGTAACTACTTTACCACGACCGCAATAAGCGATTAATTGGTTCATTACTACTCTGTTAGTTTTGGCGCGTCCGCATGCGTTGCAGAGCAGCCATGAGCCAGTTCTTTTCATACTTGGCCAGTCCTTTGTCTTGAAGGTATCGCGCCACAGCAGTGTGTCCATGAATGGTAGCCAGGGCCAAACCGTGCGCGGTACAGCCTTCGCTTCGATGGGTGTCGAGGTATTCCACCATGTTAACGTTTCCGCATTTGGCAGCAGCATCCATGGCAGCCGTGGTGCAGCCGTTGTGGCCACGTTCGTGCAAATATCGAACCATCTCCAAGTCATTTGCGAGCGCAGCCAGGTCGAGGAAGTTGCCGCGAAATGAGGACAACGTGAACGACGTGTGTAGGGCGTCCAGGAGGGGATAGTTGCCAAAGTACACTGCGTCCGACGCCACCAGAAACCGCATGTAGCCAAGCCGGTCAAACAAAAGACGGAGCCGGTCGAACCCGAACGTTGTCAGCCACGTCGAGAGCACTTTATGCACGCCAGCGACTGTCAGCATCTTGTGTGTGAGGGCCTTATCCTTTTGGAGCCGTTTCGGGTCAAATGCCAAGAACGGCAGCATGTCGACGACGATGCCATGTTGATACGACCCCACAGTCCCCATCAATTCGGAAGACAAGATCACCAGGGTAAACGGCGACGACATTGGCCATCGTACTCGCTTGAGCCGTGGATTATCGACGGAATTAGCGTGGGGGTGGATACTGCATCGATGTGGATGCATGGGGTCTGAAAGCGTAGTGTCTACTTGCATGTGGTAGCCCAGCATAGTACAACTCAAAACAAGCAATGTTGACGATATGGTACATATTGGAAATACATACATTTTTCGTGCGTGCACCATCAGAATGCATGCCTTTCGACGCGTGCCCCGTCTGATTGGTTGCACCATGACATGCATTCCTTAGAGTGATGGATGTTAACATCAGCCTATATGGTGAGCATACTGTACAGTACTTCCACGACTACCTAAGCACGTATAGTGCAATAGAAGTATGCGGCAGCTATGAAAGTGCCAGCACCACAGTATATCATAACAAAGGGTTCGATGGCAGATTAAATAAGGCTAGAAGGCGTTGCGGTTTTGAGCGTAATAACGTTAGCTTTGATTTCGACTGTCGACGTTGTTGCCGTAGCTAATCGTAGATGAGGCACGTGTCGAGTCAATTACGTATCATGTTTACGCATAATGCGAGCCAACTCTTCTTGTTTGGTTGCTCGGGCCATATACAACACCATCTCGACCATCATCATGCTGATGGCCCCAGCCAATCCAGCCAGCAATCGCTAGCATCCCATAAGCTACCTTCTCCACTAGTACGTATCATTCCTATTCTACTACATACCGTGGTTTCGCTTTCTGTGACACTGCGGGAGATGTAGTACGCGACAAAGAACGCAGTGGCCATGGCCGCAATCATGTTGACCCCGATCGACACGTGCTGGGTGACCGACTTCATTTCCTTCTGCATTTCGCTGTCTCGTTTGGGCTTGGAGAGTTTGCCCAGCATCTTGTTGTACTCCTTCTCTTCTTGTATACGCTGGAGGTACTGACGACGGGTCTCCAGGTACTTCGCTCGCTTGGTATTTGCCTCGGGTTCTACAGCCAGCATCACCTCCGTTTAAGAGGAAGAAGGGATGGTGTGGCCGCACCTGAGTTCGCACCAACCTGAACGGACGAGCCTTGAAGAAGCGACCGTATGGACTTCCCACTCGAAGCGCGCGCGGCCTTCAGATGCGTCACTGCATCGTCCAGCGGCACGCGCTTGGTGTCTCCTTCGCTCCACACCAATTCCATCTCCCTTGACGAATCCAAAATAACGTTATACGGATAATGAAATCACTCTGGGCATTGATTGGCTATATTACAGTAACGAAGAGAATTACCAGTACTATTTCGATTAACTGTAAAATGTACTTCGAAGTATTAATACTGAGTACTTCGAGGTACTATTTTAATAGTATACTGTGTACTTTTAATATTAAAATATTAAAAGTACTACTATTATTAATATTAATAATAGTACTTACTGGTAATATTTTCATTCCGCAGTAAGCACCAAGTCAAAAATAAAAAAACAATGTAGCCAATCAACGAAGAGTAAATTGATTGACCAATGGGAGCGATGCGTGAACGGTTTGGTCGGCGTGATTCGATTGGACAGAGCAATAATACCATTCTTGGTATTTCCTGCAAAAAGCTATGTTTGTGACGTGACTCTTCACAGAACAGCCTACAAATCCATCCCTTTATCAGTGTTTCACCCCCCTCTACCTTCTTTGGACATCCTCTTATTACCTCGAAGTACAGTACTCACAGTGACTTACTACGTAGTATGTCGAAACCAAACCGTAGGTACGTAAGAATAGAAAATATGACAGACTGGTATGAGTAACTTGATCAGAATATGAATGGACAAGATCAACTCGAAGAAACGTTCGAATCAGTTGCTTCGCATTTTCCTGCCCATCCCCCTCTGTGTTTAAAACTCAATTCGTAACCACCCGTTCCTTATTGACATGTGCCATGCAAGCCCTTTTGCCAACAGGCCGCAAACCTCCAAATTTTCGCTCCAGTGATGCTAACGTCGCAAGTATGTCACCAGAAAGGACACATCCGACGTAAGTAGTACTTCGAAGTATAAGATTCCGGATTTGTCAATGCTTGCCACGATTTGACATTACTGCTCCTAACATATTCCAGCAGCGTGGTCGACCTAACAGATAAACCCATAAAACTCAGATTTACGCACACAACCTCTTGTATCCTGTTCTGTCGATTCCATGCCTATTTATACTTTCGGTTAAATACTTTGAAGTACTAGTAAACTTACTTGATATTGAAGTATTAATTGTATACTCCTGCAGCGTAATAGCGCCCCCCCATGAGCCCCCCGTGAGGTGTGAAAAGATAGGTGGTTTATAGATGGAGTGCACCATATGGTTTCTAATCCACGTGCTTTCCCCCACTAGCGTTAGTAGTAAGTACTATTTTTCCAAGGACTCGGTTCGTGTGCAATGTACCGTAGCTCCGGATGGTGTTCCCTTCGTTATTGACTTCGTGAGTGTCCACAATATTCGTTTTCAAAGAATGAGGGGGAAAGGCAACCTGCATTCCCATTCCGCTTAGGTGGCAGCTCGAGAATGCCCCATTTCCCAATTTGCCCTTCAAGATGGATCGAAGTTCGCTGATCTTTTTGGCCCGACTCGCGGAAGAAGCCGAACGTTACGATGAAATGGCGGGTCACATGAAAGCGGTGGCCACGAATTTCGACAACGAGTTGTCGTCGGACGAAGGCAACTTGATTGCTGTGGTATTCAAAAACGAAATGGGCACACGTCGGTCGGCGTGGCGGGTGCTGCGCAACATTCAAATGAAAACCCAAGACACCCAACAAGCAGCGACGACGCAGGCCTACATTCAACGCATTGAGGACGAAGTGCGAACGCTGTGCCATGACATCGTGGCCATGATCGACGATCATTTGCTGCCCAAGGCGTCCAATATTGAAAGCCAAGCGTTTTACCATAAGATGAAGGGCGATTACTATCGCTACTTGGCAGAAATCGCGCCGTCATCGGATGACGGGACCAGCGCCAATCTGGCCTTGGAGAGCTACGAGAAGGCGAGGGACCTCATGTCGGCGGAGTTACCCCCCACGCACCCCCTCCGTTTGAGTCTGGCGCTGAATTTCTCGGTGTTTTACGTCGAGATTCTGAACGCCCCCGACCGCGGCGCCCTGATGGCCAAGCAGTCGTTCGACGATGCTATGGGCGAATTGGACATGCTCTCGGAAGACAACTACCGGGACACAACGTTGATCATGCAATTGTTGCGCGATAACATGACGTTGTGGATGGCAATTCAAGCGTAGGATTTATTAATACCTCCTTGCACTTTATCCTTATCATTTTCTGAATTGAACCATTTTTGCAGAAATTACAGGCTTCTTCAGATGATGCGCACTGTACTCCGGAGTACTACTGTATTAGTAAATTGTCGTAATTTCATCGCACTTTGGTCCTGTTTTCTGCTTCCACATGGTTGGCTACAGTTTTTGGTCCATCGTGTTTTGAGGTTTTCAGCGCACACGGATTGGACAAACTGATCCAATCAAAAGTGGCATATACTTACATACTAATTTTAACAAAAAACACCAATGTGAGCAAAAATTCCCGGCAGCGGTGGTCCAAGCACTAGGTGCGCTAGGTCATACGAGTAGTAGGAACATGGAGATTGACCAGAAGCATGATAGTTATGCCTAGCTACAGCTATGAAGCTCCGCCATGAAGTTCCGCAGCCTCTCCTCGTACATGAAAGCACTCGAGCCGTGCCATGCCCAAGCAAGACACGCTGTTACTATAGGTATCATCATGGCTGCCAAAGCTTCCACAGCGGTACAATGGCATGACCCCAAAGGTATCTTGCGGAATTGGGATTGATTTCGCTGTTCCGGGTGGTTCCGTCGATGAGAACGCCCCCGCTAATGGCTCTGCGACAAACCATCGGTAAGGACCTGCACTGTAGGTCCTGCAGGCTAGAATATCCAATACTTAGATCAAGTAAAACGCGATCCAAACATTTTAAACTACTTAGAGCATCTCCAACGGTAATTTCTAACCTATTGATAAAGCATGTCAAACTTCGTTTTTACGGTTGCTATTTTGGCATTATCCGGACTTTTTAGAAATTACTTCCCACAGAATATCTATTTTCGCGTGAAATAGCAACAAACCCTCCGGATAGTGCAAGAGTTTCTATTCTATATCCGTAACTTCGAATTGAAATAGAAATAAAAACACCGTTGGAGATGCTCGAAGAGCATCTCCAACGGTGTTTTTATATTAGGAATGCACAAATAAATAACCAAAACACGACTCGCCATCGTACTCTAAAAGAAATGGCGTATGTACGGATAAATGAGCTGTACAGCTCAATTGTGCGAAATACGTCGCATGTCGATAATTGGTGGATTTGCCCTGAAAGTTGCCTACAAATTAGGACTTTTTAGGATTCAAAAACGAAGGAATTATGGCCATTCTCCGAAAAAAAAGTTGCATGGTGCACGTCATCCAAAAACTTCCAACTGGCCAAATCGAAGAGTGGAGGTTTTATTATTTAACGTACATTTAACGTAGTTAAACCCAAAACCAATACGTTAAATACCGATTTCATGCGTTTTATCACTACTGCGGAGTGGGCGGTTAAAGCTCCCAACTGCCTCCGGATATTATATACGGATATGAGTCACATACAAAAAGCAAGATACATCTCAGCGGCCACCCGTATGGCCAAATATCAAACGCCCATGTAAAATACTACGTAGTACCGCTAGATTAAATATCTATTTCAGGACCAATTCATCACCAACTTTGAATCTGAGACGTAGAATTTCTTCACCACATTGAGATCTATCGATTCTACGTCTCAACTTGCTGAAATTTTGAGTAATGAATACGAAATAGAAGTCATTAACCAGAAAAAGCAAGGTGAAATAGGCAATTTTATCGTTTAAAACGGAGTATAAAACACGTGGTTTATACCGCTTGCCTTGAGATTCACCAAAAATACTTCGGTACAAAATATTTAATTTACAGTTAGGGTGCCCCTATTTTTGATTAAACAGATTTTGAAAGAAACTCGACGATTCTGAGTTTCTTGCCAACTTTCAGGATCCCTTGAACCACTTTTATATTTTTTGCCGATAAACGCGAAATTGGGCTTGTGAATTCTCCAAATTTTGGATCAGACAGATAATTTTTCATTAACCAGAAAATCAAGGTGAAATATTAGGCAATTTTGTATGGAGCGCAAGGTGAACCACCTTGCGAATTCCATAAATAATTCTGAAATTGTATAGTTTCAATTAAATATATCTTCAAGTTTGTATTGATGATTTTTATTTTTCATGTGTCTGTCTCTTTTTGGAATTCGCAAGGCAGGTCACCTTGCGAATTCAAAATTGTCCAATTTTGTCCAATCAGATGCCGTGAAATCACGAAAATCGCTTCGTAGATTCATCACGCCGTGTGGGATATATTATACTCCTGTGATGGCGGTTGATGCAAGGAGCATTGAGATAATTATGTAGGCTGCGTATGAGAGCAAGATCATGTGATGTGGTATTCAGGACTCGGTCAATTCTAACAGGTCTCGTTTGCCTACTAACCCAATGAAATTGGCCATCCCTCATTCCACCTTCTAGCCCGTGTCGGTGCCGTACACCTCCCTGCCGGTGTGATCACGTGGTTGCGCGGGCGGTGGCGAAAGACGTCTTGGTGGCACCCATCGCAAGTGCTGAAGTTGCTGCTTTAGCACTTTGCGTTTGCGATGGGTGCTACCAAGACCTCTTGCGCCACCGCGTTGGCCCACCAGAGCCACCACGACATTGCGACCCAACCGAGCGCACAACATAATGTTAGCTGTAAGGGGAGAACCACATTGGACATAGTCGGAGTGCACTCATCAGTGCACAATTCTTTGGAGCAGCATCACATAAAGCTCTACAAAATTCAAAGTTCAAAATTGTAACCTCTTCTGTCAGTGTTATAGCCAATCGTGTGTACTACGTAGTAAGAAGCAAGGTGTGATGGACTCTGATTGGATATTAAAAAGGAGCAAGGTGGCTCACCTTGCGAATTCCATTAACAAGTCAGAAAATTTTGTGAAAAATTGGTAGTTTATAGACGACGCGCACCATATTGCAAACAATTGACATTCTACGTGGACAGACAGTGCAACCATTTCCATGGTGTAGATTTCTTGATTTTCCAGTGCCTTGCTGCAGGCCTTCCTCGGCCTCCACAGGGGC